AGATGGATGAAATGGGGCCTCATGGGGACAGTAAAGAATTCTCATGCTCTCCCAGTGCCATAAACCCAGAGCGGCCTCTGAAAGGCTGAGCTGGAGGGGCTGATGCAGGTGGTGTCATCTAAACTGATGTCTCTCATCAGTCAAGTCACTATGCTATTTGCTTTGTCAGATAAGTGACTCTGGGGAAATCAGGTCAGAGAGTGGGAAAATAAACTGTTTGCTCAAGCTGATAAATGTGAATCTTCAAAATCTATTTCAAATGCAGAAATTAAATAGGCTGTGCTTTGCCTTTCAGGAACCTCCTTCAGAACTCATCCAGTGAGTGAGAGGGACAGAGGGAGTTACCAGAACACAAGCTCGACTTTAGCTTGGCTCTAACTCTGGTTGCAGGTTCCTCCTCCTACTTGATGATCTAGTGCCCACAGATGGTGCCTATGCAGTCCTGAGTTCCAGCTGGGTCGGAGGGCATGCCTCACAGAGCCAACATCTGCCACTCTGCGTCTGTCTGAGCCCTCAGAAGGCTGGTTTTCAGTTTGAGGAATCAATCTCAATCCAGTAAAGCACTTACGGCTCAGGGGCTTTGATCTTTGCTTGGCAAATGCCCTAACTGCTGAGTTCTACATACTTTGCCATTTCTCCCTTATCTGCCTTCTTTCGTACAAGCTCCAGCTTGTATGAAACCAGAGCCAGAGTTTTCACCATGTTTGGAACCCACTTTCTGATTCCTTGAGCATGGGTGAGAGGAATGGGGGTGGGGATGAGATGGGTTGGGGAAGGAAGGACAGAAGTTTAATGGAAAAACAAGAACAGAAATAAAATGCATTTATGGGCTGGGCACTGTGGCTCACGCCTGTGATCTCAATTCTCTGGAAAGCTGCAGCGGGAGGATTCCATGAGGTCAGGAGTTCAAGACCAGCCTGGGCAACATAGTGAAACATGTCTCTACAAAAAAAAACAAACAAACTAGCCCAGCTGTGGTGGCATCTGCCTGTGGTCCCAAGTACTTGGGAGGCTAAAGCGAGAGGATGGCTTGAACCCAGAGTCTGATGCTGGAGTGAGCTATGACTGCACCACTGCACCCCAGCCTATGCAACAGTGACACCTGATTTCTAATAAACAAAATGTATTTATGCTATATTTAAAAACTTTCTGAGCCGGGCGCGGTGGCACACACCTGTAATCCCAGCATTTTGGGAGGCCGAGGTGGGCGGATCACTTGAGGTCAGGACTCCAATTCCAGCCTGGCCAACATGGCGAGACCCTGTCTCTACTAACAATACAAAAATTAGCTGGGCACAGTGCGCATGCCTGTAATCCCACCTATGCGGGAGGCTGAGGCACGAGAATCGCTTGAACTCAGGAGGCGGTGGTTGCAGTGAGCAGAGTTCGCACCACTGCACTCCAGCCTGGGCGACAGAGCAAGACTCTGTCTCCAAAAAAATAAAATAAAAACTTTTTCTCAAAGAGCTCTGAAATGGAAAGAGTGCACAATAGCTTCAATTCAATGATGGCAAAGTTAAAATTCCTAACATGGTCTAACTGGCACACTCTGGATGATGCGGGAAACACAGTGACATCCTTGCTGTTTTTAAACTTGAGCAACTCAAGTTGTTAGTATGAGAGGCAAATAATTAACATCTAAATGCAAGCTGACTTTCTTCTCACAGCTAGCATATACCTCAAGTCAGCAAGCCCATTTCATCTTTTTCGAATAGCTTCTGTCAATGAATTCTCTACAATTTCATAATGTATATATGCTAGGATGCATTTGTCTTAAATGCAGTTATGTTTTGACTATTTCTAAGTAAAAGTGCATTAAGAACACAATGAAGCCCGTATTTTTTTGCACTGTCTCTTAATTTTAGGGTGGATAAAGCACCAATTTCTGAAATTCAATAAAAGCAAATCTTCCTTTGTTGTTCAGATCTTAGCAGTGGGTTTAGTAATTTTAACTTCTTCCATTTTGAAGCTTTCCATTTTTAGCCTGAAGTAGCTAAACATATAAAGGAAAGGAAGGAGAGATCATCTAAGTAGCTAATCAAATAAATGAAAACTGACTTGAAGTTAGGCTTTGTTCTCCCTTTCTTTTCTTGAATTGGATAATAACATCTCTACTTTGGATTATGTTCAATAACCAAGAAAACAAACAGCACTTAAAAAAAAAAAAAAAAAAAAGAAACCCAAATTCCATGAAAAAATAGCTTGGTAATAGTATTAATATTCCAGAAAAAAAAAATACAAGAAGTTTGGTATTTAAAACAAAACAAATAACCAAACTGCTTTCCTCATCTACCAAAATCCAACATTAAGTAACACTTAAAACAGGCAATTTACCACCTCCATTGAAATGAATACATAGTCTCGAATTTATATATGTTGTACTCTAAAGTAAGGACAACTGAAAATTAAGATGTGCTTTCCACAGAAAGTGATATAAATGGCAGCTCAAGAGTTCCAGATGGTATAACACTACAAGGTATTCTCAACAAAAGTCTCTGTTAGACTTCAGCAATACTATTTGGTGCTTCTAACAGCAAATAGGAAGCATTCCAATACTTATCAGATCCTCTACCATCAGACACAGAAATTACCTAGAAAACAGAAATGTATTGCCAAATCTCAAACAAGAGGGCTACTGATTAAAACAAACAAAAACACCCTTAAGACATCTCACATACAGAAAACATGGCCGTCTTTGGGTTAAGATTGGCTGATTTTCCAGTAGTGCTCGGGTAGGTCTTCCTGATAGAGAGGTCCAGGAATGGCAGGGTCCCATAAGCGGCTGGTGAGGAGGACCCATTGCTTTGCCTCCTACCAGTGAGGAGCGAGGATGTGGGGAAGGACTATGCATCCATCGCTCCTGATGTTCTTTTCATGGCTCCCCTTCTCCTCAGTTATTGTCCATCTACCTCCCGATGGCAGCAAATGACTTATTTTAGCCCTTTCTTCTCATTTAGATAGAAAGTGCAAATGTCTGATTCAGATACAAGACTGTATGGTCTGGTTAAATGTATAATCAAACTAAAAGTACAAATAATACCAGCTCCCTGATTTTTCTGGCAAGAGGGGAGTAACAGCTATCTGGAGAGGACTAGGGAAAGCTAAGGAATGGATTCACAAGAGAACGGAAAGGTAAAAGGTAAAGCTGAATGAGGCTCAAACTTTTGCTTAGTGCCAGCGTTGTTGATCTGCACCTGAGCAAGCTTACATAAATGCATGTACACACAGGCACGGAGCTCTCTAACATGGAATTGAGGTGAAACCCTGTCTCTATAAAAAAATACACCAGGTGTGGTGGTGGGCGCCAGTAATCCCAGCTACTCGGGAGGCTGAGGCAGAAGAATCGCCTGAACCGGGGAGGTAGAGGTTGCAGTGAACTGAAATCGTGCCACTGCACTCCAGCCTGAGCTACAGAGTGAGACTGTCTCAAAAAACAACAAAAACAAAAGCACTGGTACTTCATGTAACAAATTATGATTTGCGTATGTCTGTACTTTTACAACATAACTGGCACTTGTATAAAGGAAATTCTTTGTCAAGGACTGAATCAAGGAACTTAACACCCTGTTCTGGAAAAACAAGTATGCAATACTAGTAGGAGGAAGCAGAAAGCTTTTTTCTGTTTTCCTAGGCACAGGGCCTGTCTTCAAGAAACTTTCAAAACAGGTAGTTAGGCTTTGGCTGGCTTCTACACCATCTGCAAATGCCCAAGGCCTTCATGCAACCTTTAGCTACCTAGGGCTACCCAGTACCCTAAAGTGCCCTGCACCTTAAAACTCACCTGTTTTCTCCTTTTTCATTTCTGCCCCATCACTGCCTTTCTGCTAGGTGCAGTGGACTAACACCTGCAGCTCCAGCTGCTCAGGAAGGTAAGGTGGGAGCATCACTTGAACCCAGGAGTTTGAGTCCAGCCTGGGCAACACAGCAAGACCTCACTGCTTAAAAAAAAAAAAAAAAAGGTAGGGCTCAGTGACTCATGCCTGTAATCCCAGCTACACAGAAGGCTGAGGTGGGAGGATTACTTGAGCCCAGGAGTTTGAGACTGTAGTTAGCTGTGATTGTGCCACTGCACTCCATCCTAGGTGACAGAACAAGACCCCATCTCTTAAAAACAAACAAACCAAAAATCACAGGCTTCCTCTCAGAGAAGGGGGGTGGGGCTCTACTTAGTAGCAGAGTCTCTTAATCAACAGTAGTGTAATGTATCAATAATCAGATACATCCCTTTCAGAGATCTATATTTTCAGCCACAAAGCTTAAAATCTCAATTGTCAACTAGTAGGATTTCCGGCAAAATAACAGAAAAGTAGAAAATAAAAATCAGGTTGTAGATCTATGTTGGGAAAGGAGGTTAACTTTCCAGGTAGTTCATATTCAACGTGTCTACACAGCTCCTGCGGGTCATTTCTGCTTTCTATGTCTTCCTTTAACTAAGGCCAGAAATTCAAAAAAATTCCATTCGTTATGGAGATCCCTCTTCACCCACCCATTCACTCAATGAGAAAGAAGAATTTGTGGAAGGCAGGGGATGTCACAAGAGAAAATGGCACACCAGAGTGTAATGTCTCAAATAAAAGGCTTACTTTACACTTAATACTAGTATATTACTGTTCAAAATATTGTAAAATTATCAAGTTATAAAAATATATAATAGGCCGGGCGCGGTGGCTCAAGCCTGTAATCCCAGCACTTTGGGAGGCCGAGACGGGCGGATCACGAGGTCAGGAGATCGAGACCATCCTGGCGAACACGGTGAAACCCTGTCTCTACTAAAAAAATACAAAAAACTAGCCGGGCGAGGTGGCGGGCGCCTGTAGTCCCAGCTACTCGGGAGGCTGAGGTGGGAGAATGGCGTAAACCCGGGAGGCGGAGCTTGCAGTGAGCTGAGATCCGGCCACTGCACTCCAGCCTGGGAGACAGAGCCAGACTCCGTCTCAAAAAAAAAAAAAAAAATATATATATATATATATATAAAATAAGATCTCATAAGAAACTCTGAATGGACTGACGCTTGATAATTCTCTTAAGTAGAACACAATGAAACAGTAGTGGCTGGCTAAGTTCCATCAATTTTTTTTAACTCTTTTTGACTTTTTCTCCTGGTCTTCTGTTATCCTTTCTGCAGGTCGCTTCTTCAACCCCTTCATTTTCCTGGTTTGTAGTTTGCTTAGGTCTTGCTTCTGCATATGAATCCTTCCATAAGTTGTACCAAAAGTATCATGGGAGATATTTTTCTTCTTCTTTGGCTACGACAAAAGAATTCGTATATATTTAATGGCCTTCTACTATAATGAGCCAGTAAAAACCTAGTCTGTAACAACTATCTTAGTAGCAACTTCCATTAGTGCCTGCCCCTTCAATGACAGAGTATATATAGCCCTATATACTTTTCTTCTCAAACTTAAGTGTACATACAAATCACTTGGGATCTTGCTAAAGCACAGATCCTAATTCAGTATGTCTAGGGTAGGGCCTGATATTCTGCACAATTCCCAGGTAAACTGTCAGGCCACACTTTGAAAAACAAAACTATAAACTACACTAACCACTGTCAAACATCAAGAAAATATCTTGTGTTTAGCTTAAGGAGTTGTGACTATCATTTCAATTTCTATTGGCATTTTAGGGATTACATTTCTGCTTGTCTTTTAAAACTACTTAAAAAGTCAAAACACATTTTATGCACATATGGTTTACATACCCTGTGCTCTAAATCCTCAGTCTTTACAGCGTCCCAAACAACTCTCTTCCTTTTGTTGAAAACAGCAGTCTTGACTATCAGAAGGCACTTAGCCAAACCTCATGTCTGGGTTGTGCAACTCTTTCTTTTTATTATCCCTTATTGTTGGCTTATTTGGTTCTCTCTCCTTTTCCTGGCTCTGTGAGTCCTAGTTTAATCTATTGTATTGATCTCTTTATGTATGTCCTTGTCTTTTTTTTTTTTTTTTTTGAGATGGAGTCTTGCTCTGTCGCCCAGGCTGGAGTGCAGTGGCGCAATCTCGGTTCACTGCAAGCTCCACCTCCCAGGTTCACACCATTCTCCTGCCTCAGCCTCCCAGGTAGCTGGGACTACAGGCGCCCACCACCACACCTGGCTAATTTTTTGTATTTTTCGTAAAGACAGGGTTTCACTGTGTTAGTCAGGATGGTCTTGATCTCTTGACCTCGTGATCCGCCCGCCTCAGCCTCCCAAAGTGCTGGGATTACAGGCGTGAGCCACCATGCTGGGCCTATCCTTGTCTTTTAATACAATATGCCACAAATCCTTTTTGGAAACAAAAAGGATTAAAGTAGAATATACAAATAAATATGGCACCAAGCTCTAAGTCATATACCTTGAGAGCTTTTGGCATTTTCATAGATAATTTATAAAGGTCATCCGATGCCAGGTGTGTCCTCCTCAGAACCAGATCCAATGAGGGTCCCATCTCTTCCAATTCAATCCGTGGTGTTCTGCAACCAGATTTCTTCAACAGCAACCTTTAGGAAATAGGTAAAAAGAAATGTTGCTATGACTTTCATAAAAGTCCTCTCCACCAAATATTTTTTGTTCAGGGGATTTACAGGTCCATTAAATGACATAAAATGTTTAGAGAGACTTACTTAAATACTTCATACATTCAAGCCAAGCATATCCTTTGGGTCACTTTTTGTTTTATAAACCATTTTTTTTTTTTTTTTTTTTTGAGATGGAGTCTTGCTCTGTCGCCCAGGCTGGAGTGCAGTGGTGCAATCTCGGTTCACTGCAAGCTCCGCCTCCCACATTCACACCATTCTCTTGCCTCAGCCTCCTGAGTAGCTGGGACTACAGGCGCCCGCCACCACGCCCGGCTAATTTTTTATATTTTTAGTAGAGACAGGGTTTCACCTTGTTAGCCAGGATGGTCTTGATCTCCTGACCTCGTGATCCGCCCGCCTTGGCCTCCCAAAGTACTGGGATTACAGGCACGAGCCACCGCGCCTGGCTTTTTTTTTTTTTTTAAGTCTTTTATCCCTTTTTGAGCTAAAGGGTCGCACAAATATCAAATTTAAAAAAAAATTTTTTCCCTGAGGTAAAGGACAGTTTGCTTTTTTTTTTTTTTGAGACGGAGTCTCGCTGTGTCGCCCAGGCTGGAGTGCAGTGGCGTGATCTCGGCTCACTGCAAGCTCCGCCTCCCGGGTTCACGCCATTCTCCCGCCTCAGCCTCCCGAGTAGCTGGGACTACAGGAGTCCGCCACCGCGCCCGGCTAGTTTTTTGTATTTTTAGTAGAGACGGGGTTTCACCATGTTAGCCAGGATAGTCTCGATCTCCTGACCTCGTGATCCACCCGCCTCGGCCTCCCAAAGTGCTGGGATTACAGGCTTGAGCCACTGCGCCCGGCCAGTTTGCTTATTTTTAAAAATCAGAAATAAAATTATACAATATTGTTAAGAAACAGCAAGTGAGATACAAAATTCTGAGAAATGAAATAAAATCCTTTGATTTGACTTCCTCTTACTCATAGACTTATATATGTATAAACATAATTTTAATTGGCTTTTTCTTTGAAACAGTATGTTTGTACGATTAACAAGTTCTTATCTAAGACTGTAAGAGTTAAACCAACCCATTCGGAATCAATATCATAGCACAGATATTTACTAACTTCCTTACATTGAAGTGAACTTTAAAATCTTAAAATAACAAAACCACAACTTTCTGAATAGCCTATGACTAAACAACTCTGGATCTGGAAACACTGGTGGAGGGGAACTGGGGAGTACAGGCAGGATAAAGGGATGGTGGAGCAGCCTGGCGCAGTGGCTCACACCTGTAATCCCAGCACTTCGGGAGGCTAAGGCAGGCAGATCACCTGAGGTCAGGAGTTCCAGACCAGCTGGCCAATATGGTGAAACCCCATCTCTACTAAAGACACAAAAAATTAGCTGGGCGTGGTGGCGGGCACCTGTAGTCCCAGCTACTCGGGAGGCTGAGGCAGGAGAATCGCTTAAACCCGGAAGGCAGAGGTTGTAGTGAGCCGAGATAGCGCCACTGCACTCCACTCTGAGTGCCAGGGCGAGACTCCATCTCAAAAACAAACAAAAAAGAAATCAAGGACGTGTATTTACATTTTCAACTAAAATTTTTTCTTCCACTTAAAGTGCTAATTTTCAGCTAGTTAGAAAACTTGTGAATTCAAAACAGCTCATGGCATGTCTGATAGATTCAAATCACCCAAGTACTACTATACACTGCCAAAAGCACTTTTGAATTAACTGAAGTACCTTTTAATTAACTAAAAATAATTTTAAAAATTGATGCATAACAGATGTACATAGCTTCAGGGTACACATAATAATTTAATATTGTGCCTTTTTATTCACACAAATGTCCTAATGAATTTTTTTTTTTTTTTTTTTTTTTTTTTTGAGACGGAGTCTGGCTCTGTCGCCCAGGCTGGAGTGCAGTGGCCGGATCTCAGCTCACTGCAAGCTCCGCCTCCCGGGTTTACGCCATTCTCCTGCCTCAGCCTCCGGAGTAGCTGGGACTACAGGCGCCCGCCACCTCGCCCGGCTAGTTTTTTGTATTTTTAGTAGAGACGGGGTTTCACCGTGTTCGCCAGGATGGTCTCGATCTCCTGACCTCGTGATCCGCCCGTCTCGGCCTCCCAAAGTGCTGGGATTACAGGCTTGAGCCACCGCGCCCGGCATGAATTAATTTTTTGAGTGGTACATAAAATTAAGATTTCCAAATAACTATGTGTAACTGCCTATGTTGCTGTTTCATTAAAGAATTAAGTACAATGCCATACTTGTCTGTGTAGATGATCTGATCTTAATCATTTCAGTGAGTATGTTTACTGGAACAGCAAACTGATTTAAGCAAATATTCTCTGGCTTTTAGTTATCTGCAAACAGAACCCAGTTCTTTCTCTCTCAGATGGATTCAAGCTGGTAGATATGCTAACTGGTAATTGCTACATATTTTTAAATATTATTTGCCTATTTCTTGAGGAAGAGTGACATTACTACTACTGTTCAAATTGTAATTTCCTCATTTTTCTCCCTCTCATACACTTTTCTGGCTGAAAGTCTGTTTTCATTAAGTAAACTCCTCTATTAGAATGTTGTGTTTGCTTTTTAAAGTATGCTAACACTTTGTTTTGCATATTCTCCCCCTTAAGGCCTAACCATTGTGCAAAGGCACAAGTGGCATTACTAACAATTTTGTTTCATATTAATGGCCCTGACTCTAAAGTGAATAGAATTTCCCAAGGGATATCAACAGTCACTCACATATAAGGAATAATTACTACAGGATGTATAGGAACAGTGGTCAGTAACACTGATTTATTTACCCAAAAGATCATGTTAAAGGTTATATTAATATAATTTCATGTTTAGAGTTCCTTTCATCCAAAAAGCTCAAAACCATTTTATAAGCCTCATTAATCTTCACAAGTAAAGTGTGTGAAAATTAAATATTACCATTTTCAAACTGCTTAAGGGCTAATTTGCAGTAACAGAGAAGGAAAGGGTTCCACAGTATAGCCCAAAGAATGCCTGGGGAGCCGAGTTAAGTCAGACATACTTTCTGGTATATGCCCATCTGTGAGTACCTCTTTACTCTTATAAAGCAGTACTGTCAATTTTACGGGGACCTCAGAATTACCTAAACGGTATTGCTATAGTTTGCAGAGGAAGAAACAAAGACCCTGAGAAGTGGTGACCTGCCCATGTTGGGTGGCTGAGCCCAGCTCAGAGCCAGGTCAGTAGGCTCAGAGGTGATGCAGAATCCCTGGACCACTCCTTCCTCCCATGCTCAATGCTCCTCAAGTGTGGCACAGCCTCTGGAAGCTAAGCTGATCCACATGTTTAGTGATTCTTTCAAGTAGCAGCTCACTCTCAATCACACTGTCCATTTATTATTTCAAATTAATAGCTAACAAGTATTACAAGGCACATATGGAACATCTAGTGATCAAAATTACATACTGGGGTCTCTGATTTTAAAAATTCAAACTTTTTTTTTTCCCATTATGAAAGATGTCATGCTAGTGTAAAGGTGATTCCAGCAATCGGATTTTTGGTGGATCTATGCATTATAGTTACACTGCTAGTTTTTTGTTTTTGTTTTTGTTTTCATTTTTATTTTTTGAAATGGAGTCTTGCTTCGTCGCCAGGCTGAGTACTGTGGCACAATCTAGGCTGGCTGCAATCTCCGAATCCCTGGTTCAAGCAATTCTCCTGCCTTGGCCTCCCAAATAGCTGGAATTATAGGCATGCGCCACCATGTACAGCTAATTTTTTGTATTTTTAGTATAGATGATGTTTCACCGTGTTGGCCAGGATGGTCTCGATCTCCCAACCTCATAATCTGCCCACCTTAGTCTCCCAAAGTGCTGCTGGGATTACAGGCATGAGCCACTGTGTCCGGCCTTACTGCTAGTTTATTCTTTTTTTTTTTTTTTTTTTTTTTGAGATGGAGTCTAGCTGTCACCCAGGCTGGAGTGCAGTGGTGCGATCTTGGCTCACTGCAACCTCTGCCTCCCAAGTTCTCCTGCATCAGCCTCCTGAGTAGCTGGGATTACAGGCGCACACCATGTTGCCCAGCTAATTTTTGTGTTTTTAGTAGAGATGGGGTTTTACCATGTTGGCCAGGCTGGTCTCAAACTCCTGACCTGAGGTTATCCACCCACCTCGGCCTCCCAAAGTGCTGGAATTACAGGCATGAGCCACCACGCTGGGCCAGTTTATTCTTGTTCTAAAGTCTGACTTGATAATTCTCTATTTTGTTTTTCTCTGTATCCTTCTTTACAAATAAATCCTTTTCACTAAATACAAGTGAATACTTTCTGTGAAACCGTTCAACACAGAATAGTTTTAGGCTACTGTTATTATTCATTTCTTATTCTCAACAATTTTTTATTGTTATATTTTTATCTCCCTTGTATCCCCTCTATGTTTAACACAGAGGGCATACATATCCACCTAAGGCAAGAGAATCGCTTGAATGCGGGAGACAGAGGTTGCAGTGAGCTGAGATTATGCCACTGCACTCCAGCCTGGGCAACAGCAAGATCCTGTCTCAAAAAAAGAAGTGTTCCAGGCCGGGCGCAGTGGCTCACGCCTATAATCTCAGCACTTTGCAAGGCCAAGGTGGGTGGATCACGAGGTCAGGAGATCGAGACCATCCTAACATGGTGAAACCCCGTCTCTACTAAAAATACAAAAAATTAGCCAGGCATGGTGGCAGGCGCCAGTAGTTCCAGCTACTTGGGAGGCTGAGGCAGGAGAATGGCATGAACCCGGGAGGCAGAGGCTGCAGTGAGCTGAGATTGCGTCACTGCATTCCAGCCTGGGCAACAGAGTGAGACTCAGTCTCAAAAAAAAAAAAAAAAAAAAAAAAAAAAAGAAAGAAAGAAAAGTGTTCCAGATTTCTGTTTTTTTCAGATTTTGAAATACTTGCATACACATAATGAGATATCTTGGGGATGAGACCCAAGCCCAAACACAAAATTCATTTATGTTTCATATACAGTTTATACACATAGCTTGAAGGTAATTTTATACAATTTTTATTTTATTATTTTTTATCTGAGACGGAGTTTCTTTCACTCTTGTTGTCCAGGCTGGAGTGCAATGCCGTGATCCAGCTCACTGCAACCTGTCTCCCAGGTTCAAGCAATTCTCCAGCCTCAGCCTCCCGAGTAGCTGGGATTACAGGAGTCTACCACCATGCCCGACTAATTTTTGTATCTTTAGTAGAGACGGTATTTTGCCATGTTGGCCAGGCTGGTCTGGAACTCTTGACCTCAGGTGATCCACCCGCCTAGGCCTCCCAAGTGCTGGGATGACAGGTGTCCAGCCAACATAAGGTTTTTTTTTTTTTTCAGTCTTACTGTGTCGCCTAGACTGGAATGCAGTGGCATGATCTCAGCTCATTGCAACCTCTGCCTCCCAAGTTGAAGCAATTCTTGTGCCACAGCTGCCTAAGTAGCCAGGATTATAGGCGTGTGGCCCAGGCTCAAGCAATTCTTGTGCCACAGACTCCTGAGGAGCTGGGGTTACAGGCGTGCGACACCATACCCACTTAATTTTTGTATTTTTAAATAGAGACGGGGTTTCTCCATGTTGGCCAGGCTGGTCTTGAACTCCTCATCTCAAGTGATCCGCCCACTCTCTGCAACCTCTGAGTCTTGGGCTCAATTGTCCTGCCTCAGCCTCCTAAGTAGCTGGGAGGACAGGCGTGTGCCACCATGTCCAGCTAATTTTTGTATTTTTAGTAGAGATGGGTTTTGCTATGTTGGCCAGGCTGGTCTTGAACTCCTGGCCTCAAGCAATCCACCCACCTTGGCCTCCCAAAGTTCTGGGATTACAGGCGTGAGCCACCATGTCCGGCCTGAGTACCTTTTTATATTAGTGATTTTTCATCTTTTATTTCTTGTTCTCTAAATAACAGTCATCTACTGTATAGTATAATACATACTTAGAAGCCCCCAGATCACATATGGAAACTCAAACAGGAGACTTAGGGCTTTCGATCTTAATTAGCTAAAACTTATAAAGTCACTAACTACATCTTATGATCATTGGGTATTTTATTGCATTTTGCCTTATTATTTTGTTTTTAGTGAGATGAAAATAGAAAAACAGAAGTGGTTGTATTAATCATATGGAGAAAACTAAGTGTCTCTGATTTAATATGGTTGAGCCCAAGATGGAAATTACTAGCTGACAAGAGGTGAATATATAAGTTTCATTTGGACATTTCATTGGACATCAGTCATGTATTTCATTGTGAAGGAAAACAAAAACCATGCACGAAATGCTAGATACAAATGGTTGCACAAACAGCACTACCATACAGAAGACACTGTCAACACCAAGCTGTCAGCTCTCAGGCTGTGACGCCAGCCACACCACAGCTCAAAATGTACAGCAAAGTCTAAACTCAATGTACAGAGAAAGGCAATTTGTGGGAGTCAGTGTATTCTTTAGGAAACTGTGTGCTCTGTCAGCCAGTACCAACGCCTTAAAAAAGAGAAGTCACACACTTACCTCAAGAACCACAATTACAGCATGTCATTAATTCTTTAATAAACATAGAATCTGCTTAAGAGGTTTTTTTTTTTTTTTTTTTTTTTTTTTGAGACAGGGCTCTCACTTTGTTGCCCAGGCTGGAGTGCAGTGGCACAATCATGGCTCACTGCAAACTGTACCTCCCAGGTTCAAGCGATTTTTGTGCCTCAGCCTCCTGAGCAGCTGGAACTACAGGCATGTGCCACCACGCTGGGCTAATTTTTATATTTTTTTAGTAGAGATAGGGTTTTGTCATGTCGGCCAGGCTGCTCTTGAACTCCTGGGCTCAAGTGATCTGCCTGCCTCGGCCTCCCAAAGTGCTGGGATTACAGGTGTGAGCCACCGTGCTCAGCCTGCTTAAGTTATAATATATTTATACTGTAGTAGGGGTAGAAGGCCTAGGCTAGAGAGACAGGGTGAAATGAATCTAGCCACTGAATCTTCTTATTCCTTTTAGACTCAATTGTTTAGACTTAGGGTTTTGAGATTTGCTTCGGCTGGCCAAGGATTTGTGGCTTAGTGCTGTGAATCCAACCAAGAACAATAAAGAGATGCTGCATAAAGCCAGGAAGAGTTGGTGCACCTGGCTCAGTGACACTGCAGTATCAGATGCTCTGGGGCACTGGAAAAGTAGGGTTTCAGAGGCAAAGGACTGAGGATCAGCAGAGAGCTGGTGCCACTGCTATCCCGCCAACTCTCCAAAACACCTTCTGGCCAGATACCAATTCTAAGTTTAGGCTCTATAAAACAGTCACACAGTTTTAAACGCTAACCCTGAGGATTAAGAAAATATGCAAAGAAATGCTCTTACTTATAGCTTCGAAAGTAAATCTTCCCATTCAGTGCAGTGAAGTGCAGAACATACTCTAATCCAGCCAGGCGGATATTTGATACTGTGGGGCCTCTGAAGAAATCTAAAAGCACATATTAAATTGTTAACAAAACAAAACAAAACAAATACTTGCAAAATTCAGTTACAACTGCATTCTAAACAGTTTTGTTCCAATACTTATCTAAAAAAGCACAAAAAACGATTCCTTAAAAATGTCTGAAGGTCTCACCCCTTAAGCATTTAATCTCATGACTTTATTTCTATGTTTAGTTCACTGAGACATTTAATGTTTCAGTTTTGAAGTTCTTCCTCTGAGTCAGCTCGGCAACAAAAAATCATATCCATTAAGAATATTAACTTTAAAAAAATGTAAATCAAAGCATAAAATTTTAACCTATAGGTAGATGAAGGCAGCAAATTTCTATAAAAATGATTGTTCAAACTGACTATTAAAATCAAATTAGCTTCAATTTTTTTTTCTATGAGGGAGGTCAACAAGAAAAAAATTCTAATAAGAAATTTTGATTATATGAGCAAAGGATAAGAAACTTTATAAACTGTTAATGCCAGAAAAGAACCTTGGATATCAGGGATAGGCTTTTTTCTCACAAAGTGGTAGTCATACCACTGGTGGCACATGCGAGCATTTTAATGATACAAAGCCAGATATAATTTACTACATATTTATTTTATCCTGTACCATTCTCCATTTATGACAGGGATATAAAGTTTCCTTTTAAAAAGAGTAGTCGGCCAGGCACAGTGGCTCATGCCTGTAATCCCAGCACTTTGGGAGACTGAGGTGGGCAAACCGCTTAAGCTCAGGAGTTTGAGGCCAGTCTGGGCAACACGATGAAACCTCATCTCCACTAAAAGTATAAAAATTTAGCCAGGTTGTAGTCCCGGCTACTGGAGAGGCTAAGGTGGGAGGATTGCTGAACCACTGGACTCCAGTGAGGGCGACAGAGCAAAACCCATCTCAAGCAGTAACATAAAAAGAGGAGTAATTAAAAGAAAATCTCCAGTGAACTGCACACTATAGATACTACACGGACTTGGCTATGAAAGAAGTTTGGAAAACAAGTGTGATACCTTAATTTTACAGCTGAGAAAATCGAACCTCAAGAAGGCTAAATGGAAATTCATGAATAACATTTGACTAAGATAAAGTTCTATATAAAAATGTATCCAAGTTTGCTTAGGAAGAGCTGCCCAAAGCAGGTGATGTAGTAAGTAGGAAATTCTATTCTAGTCCCATTCTGTAGCCACCTAGCATTTTCTTTCCCTCTTTCCATTAGCCCATAAGATGCAGATGATCTCCATGTGCAGAGATGTACACATCTTTTGTTGTCTGCTTTTCCCTTCTTGTGGTTAACCAAAAGAAAATCACAGGCCGGATGCGGTGGCTCATGCCTGTCATCTCGGGAGGCCGAGGCGGGCGAATCACGAGGTCAGGAGATTGAGACCATCCTGGCTAACACAGTGAAGTCCCGTCTCTACTAAAACTACAAAAAATTAGCGGGGTGTGGTGGCACGTGCCTGAAGTCCCAGCTACTTGCGAGGTTGAGGCAGGAAAATCACTTGAACCTGGGAGGCAGAGATTACAGTGAGCCGAGATCGTGTCACTGTACTCTCCAGCCTGGGCGACAGGGCAAGACTCAGTCTCAAAAAAAAAAAAAAAAAAAATCAGCATTAATGTGTATAAAACAAACACAAGTGTACAGGCACATTTATATATTTCCCTTCTCTACTCCCCCAATCGAGGAAAAAAACACAAAAAACCCTAATGAACATTTTTAATTTAAAAAAAGTACATATATTACATATATTTATACATGTAATATATAGAGATGGGGTCTCACTATGTTGCCCAGGCTGGTTTCGAACTCCTGGACTCAAGCACTCCTCCTGCCTTGGTCTCTCAAAGTGTTGGGATTACAGGCATGAGCCACCATGCCCCTGGCCTGGGACATTTTTATAAAACAAATTTGTACTTTTCAAGATATTTTAATCTAAATATCATAATAAAGAGCTTTCCCATGATTTTGCCAAAGCCTGGCTCTCCTTCAGTGGCCAAGTTATGCTTCAGTAATGCCAAACCAATGCCAAGCCCACTCATTGGTGTGGCATTACAGAAGTCAGAGTAGTTCTGGGGAACAAAATATGTACATTCCAGTCTGCTCCGAAACAACTTTCATAATGCAAAATTTTCAGGGCATCTGTGCTTTTTCCATAGGCTTTGGGAGAAAACTTTAGGAACACAATAAGCACATGGAAAAGTACTCTTTAATAGGTCAAAACTTCTAAGACTACGAATATAAAAGGATTTTCAGTCTGTATCCAATAGTTCGAAGTAGTTATCCTTTTATTACAACATTTTCTCTTAACTGCCAAACTGAAATTTCCCTAAAGTTTGCAAATCATCAAGGTAACACAAACAAGTAATGAATGAAAATGGGAGGGCATAAATGGTAGTACTTAGTAACCGAAAGCAAATACAGCTAACAGCATATTTTCTGGCTAGAAACAACAGAGTATTGTTTATACATGAATACCACTGGCAAGAATCCATTCACTTAACAAATTCTACCAGAACACCTATTATGCATAATGATAAATGACATATAGTATCTTTCTACCAGGGGCCCCGCATTCTAGGTAGATATGAATACATACAAACAACTGCAATTTAAAATAGCACATTAAAGGAGAACAGTATAAACCATTCTGGAAGTTCTGAGGAGAGAAAGATCATTTCTAGTTGGGAACGATCTCATGCAAGTGGTATATATACTGTAAGGATTTTGACCAAGAAGTATGATAAATAACTTTATGAACCTGAGAACCTGAAATATAATAATACTGTATAAATAAATGCATGGCTGGGCATGGTGGCTCATGCCTATAATCCCAGCACTTTGGGAGGCCAAGATGGGTGGATCACCTGAGGCCAGGAGTTCGAGACCAGCCTGGCCAATGTGGCGAAAACCCACCTCTACAAAAAATACAAAAATTATCCAGGCATGGTGGTGAATGCCTGTAATCCCAGCTACTCAGGAGGCTGGGGCAGAAGAATCGCTTGAACAGCTGATGCGGAGGTTGCAGTGAGCCGAGATTGCACCATTGCACTCTAGCCTGGGCGACAGAGTGAGACTCCATCTCAAAAAATAAACAAATAAGAAATAAAAGTATGTACTATAAAAAGAACTAAATTCAAAACTTTAATATGCCACTTGGTAAATGCATGACCTTAGAAAAGCTACTCACCTGTTTAGGCCTCAGTTTTCTCAATTACATAATGAAAATCAGAATTAAAAATTCCTCTACTCCAAATTTAAAAAAAAACTACATAAATGATAGGCTACCATTTAAGAAGGGAAGAATAGGCCAGGCATACTGGCTCACACCTCCAACTTTGGGAGGCTGAGGCTGGAGGGCTGCTTGAGTCTAGGACTCTGAGACCAGCCCAAGCAATGTAGCAAGACCTCATGTCTACAAGAAATAAAAAAAATTAGCTGGGCGTGATGACATCTACCTGGGATCCCAGCTACTGAGGGGAATGAGGTAGGAGGATCACTTGAGACCAGGAAGTTGAGACTACAACGAGCCATGATTGTGCCACTGCACTCCAGCCTGGGCAACAGAGTGAGACCCTGTCTCAAAAAAAAAAAAAAAAAAAAAAACAAACAAATTCAGAATGAACAAAATGGAGTATCTCGCCTAGAAAAAAAAAAAAAAAAAAAGTCAAAAAAAAAAAAGTCAACTTTTCTTTTTGGTCAAGAAAAAAAAAAAAAAGGAGCTTCCTAAATGAAAGCCCTTCATATATTTCTTGCTCCCTACTGATATTTCATTTGAACACACAACATAAACCAAGGAGCAGTTGTTTTACTTCATTATTTATACTGAAAACCCAACTTCCCTTAGTGCCCTACAGTTTGAATCTGTTCCTCTTCTACCTTTCTGCTTCTGTACAGATTCCTTTTTGGTTTTCACTCCCTTCCACTCATCACTGCATTATGTGATTATTCCTGCCATCTAGTGGAAGCACAAAATAATGAGAAGGTGGGGCTTATTAAAATACAACAAACATTTAAACAAATGCAAACAAAAGCTCTCTCTGTTATAACAAATTGTAAGTATCTGCCTCACTGACAATAAACAATTATATGGGAGACCTAGGGGAAAGAGAAAAAGGCAGAAAATCGGGGTCAATGGAGTACAAGTAATGGAAATCTTAGCTGAAAATCTGGCTGACAGTTTGGTTGGAATAATATCCTTGGCCAGGCACAGTGGCTCATGTCTCTAATCTCAGCATTTTGGGAGGCCAAGGCAGGCAGATCACTTGAGGTCAGGAGTTCAAGACCAGCCTGGCCAACATGGTGAAACCCAGTCTTTACTAAAAATATAAAAAATTAGCTGGGTGTGGTGGCAGGTACCCGCGGTCCCAGGTACTAAGGAGGCTAAGGCAGGAGAATTGCTTGAACCTGGGAGGTGGAGGTTGCAGCGAGCTGAGATCACACCAGGGCGACAGAGTGAGATTCTGTCCCAAAAAAAAAAAAAAAATTGCCTTGATAATTTGGGATATATAAGAGAGAAGGAAATATTGGTCATTGTCTTTCATGTACGAATTCATGGAAAATGTGGATAAGAACCTATAAAGATTCTAGAAGGGATCATGGGAATATGTTCACCATAAGCAAGATGGACAGTAGGGGAAGAAAAGCTCAGGCTTTGGAAGCTTTAGGTTTCAATGTGGCTTTACCTACTTAATAGCTCTAATTTAAGTTCTCAGAGCCCTTGTTTGTTTTCCCATCTGTAAAATGGGAATGTCATCGAACTCAAGAACTTTTGTAAAGATTAAACAGATAATAACGGTTCTTTAATAAGGGAAATAAGTTCTAAAAATTACAATGCCAAGAATGGGTGACTGGGTTTTTTCCCCTAAAAATTATAATCCTGATAATAAAGACCAAAAATAATCCCAAAAAGAAAAAATGAAAGCAATATGTTTGTCACAAAGTTTTTTTGGTGGGCTCAGATTTGTAAAGCACGTGTATACAACTTAACTTTATATGCCATCAATTTTTCAAAAATGATCTAGGGCAAAGTATATAAAAATTTAAAAGAAGGGTAACAAAAAGTGTAGCATAAGCTTGTAAGCATGGTGCAAGAAAAGCTCAAATGGAATAAAGTAGAAAATGCCACTGAGCATTAGATGGAGGCCTCGTGGCTATTAACACTGAGGTGAAATAGGAACATAAAGGACTGCTGCTTTGAGAGTAACAGTGCACTGTGCAGGAAAAGCTGAATCTCTCAAACCCCATGAAGGAAAAGAAGCAAAAAATTCAGTAAGATTTTCTTAAATTGGAGAGAGCTAGGTGCAGTGGCTCATGCCTGTAATCTCAGCACTTTGGAAAGCTGAGGCAGGTGGATCGCTTGAGCTCAGAAGTTCAAGACCGGCCTGGGCAATATAGGGAGACCCCCATCTCTACAAAAAATTAAAATAAAAAGTAGCTGGGCATGGTGGTGTGAACCTGTAGTCCCAGCTGCTCAGGAGGTAGAGGGCTGCTTGAGCTCAAAAGGTTGAGGCTGCATTAAGACGTGATCACACTAGTACACTCCAGCCTGAATGACAGAGCAAGATGCTGTCTCCAAAAAAAAAAAAAAAAAAATTGAGAGACAGAGACACAGACCCTTTAAATTAGTACCAATCTCTTGGAAAATTAAATTACTTTCCAGAGTTATAAAAGAGCTGGCAAATAGAATCACGGAATGCTAAGTATTAGTAACCTTTTAAAAATCATGGAGGCTGGGTGTAGTGGCTCACACCTGTAATCCCAGCACTCTGAGGGGCTGAGGTGGGAGGATTGCTTAAGTCATGAAGTTCAAGACCAGCCTGGGCAACACAGTGAGACCCTGTCTTAACAAAAAATTTTAAAAATTAGCCAGGTGTGGTGGCATGTGTCTATGGTCCCAGCTACTTAGGAGGCTGAGGTAGGAGGATCACTTGAGCCCAGGAGGTTGAGGCTGTAGTGAGCCATGATTAAGCTACTGCACTCCAGCCTGGGCATCAGAGCACGACTTGTCTCATAAAGGAGAAAAAAACAGAAAAGGATGTAGTCCTTACATTCATTACACAAATCATTAAGAACTAGCATAGTTTACTAGGTGTGGGTTATCTGTAGAACAACCTCACGAAGTTCTTGTTAGAATGAAGCAGTGTATATGAAGTGCCTACTATATGCCTGGCACTTAGGATGATGATGGTAGTCCAAAGTAAAAATGAGCCGGGGCCTGTCACAGTGGCTCATACCTGTAATCCCAGCACTTTGGGAGGCCCAGGAGAGTGGATCACCTGGAGTTAGCAATTCAAGACCAGCCTAGCCAACATGGCAAAACCCCATTTCTACTAAAAATTAAAAAAAAAAAAAAAAAAAAATTAGCCAGGCATGGTGGCGGGAGCCTGTAATTCCAGCTACCTGGGAGGCTGAGGCAGGAGAATTGCTTGAACCCGGGAGGTGGAGGTTGCAATGAGCCAAGATCACATCATTGCACTCCAACCTGGGCAACAGAGCAAGACTCCATCTAAAAAAAAAAAAAAAAAAGGAGCCGGGAAGGTCACTGAGGGCTTCCTGGAGAAGAAAAGAAACTTGACGATCTGACACTGAAATGAATTAGTAGAAACTGGATAAGTAAGAGTAATACCAGAATAGACAACAGAAATGTGAATAATATATTGGCAATAAACCCTTTCTAATGGAAAAAAGAAATAGGAGATCAAGAAGGCCAAGTTACATTGGTTATATATTGTGAAAGGCCTTGTATATTCAACTCAGAAAAACTAATTAAGGTTTTTGAGTTGGAAGTCAGTGATACATACAATCTTGAAATTTTAATCCCTCAACTTCCTAAATTTAATTTTAAATGATGCTAGGAATGACAAGAGATGGGTGCAGGAATTTTATAAAACACTATGTAAGTAATACCTAAGTTACTAACACATTGGGAAATAATCGTCTGCACAGTACAACAGCTGCTTTAACTCTCCCGAGACACTTAGGTACTTTCTTGCTGCTGGTAAGGGGGAAAAAAAAGAAAAAGGTCCAAAAAAAGGAGGAAAAAGAAGTTGTGCTCACTTTGGCAGCACATATGCCAAAACTGGGAGCACACAGAGATGAGTACGGCCCCTGTGTAAGGATGGCCTGCAAATTTGTGAAGTACTCCATTATTTTCAGTATATATTATTTTTAAAATAAGAGAAAAAAGAAGTTACAAACCTAAAGTGGCAAACTGCCACCAGTGACAGTCTGAGACTGCCTTCCTGAGCTACTCTGAAGATAATAAATGCTAAAATACTTACCAATAAGAAGACTTTTTAGTCTTCTATAATCTTCTGTTACATCAAAATCATCACCAGCAAATATTAGCATGGGTTTTGTTCCCTCAGGACATTTACTGTTCTAAAAAAAAAAAAAAAGCAATTATATAATTACCAAAGTCTAAACTGTTTACATACTGATTTTATTTATTATTATTATTATTATTTTTGACATGGAGTCTCACTCTGTCATCCAGGCTGGAGTGCAGTGGCGCAGTCTCAGCTCACTGCAACCTCCACCTCCCGGGTTCAAGCAATTCTCCTGCCTCAGTCTCCCAAGTAGCTGGGACTACAGGTGCGTGCCACCATGCCCAGTTAATTTTTTTGTATTTTTCGTACAGACTGGGTTTCATCATGCTGGTTAGGCTGGTCTCAAACTCCTGACCTCAAATGATCCACCCACCTCGGCCTCTCAAAGTGCTGGGATTATAGGTGAGAACCACGGTGACTGGCCTGTACTGATTTTAAAGTAGTCGGTACTTTATACTAATTTGTTTTCACATTTTAACTGTTCTAAAACTATGTCTGTGAATACTGATATTAGAGGTAAAAACAGAGGTGGGATTTTTTTTTTTTAAAGAGACAGGCTCTCGCTGTGTTGCCTAGTCTGGACTCAAACTCTTGGGCTCAAGACATCCTCCAAGTATCTGGGCTAAAGGTGCAGGCCTGGCTAAGATGACGTTTTTAAGCTTCTAGACTTCTATACTAAAAAAACCATTCTTTGTCCCATTCATTTAAATTAGCAAATAAAAGATGGCAAAAGAATGATGTAAAGGGCTTTTTAAACATTAGTCTATGCAAAGAATAAAATTAAAAGTTACACTTGCAAAAGCAAAACACAACACAACACAATACAACCAACCAACCAAAACAGCCTTCTGATGGCCAGCATCCCTGAATCAAAATAAATTTAAGGCCAGGTGTGATGGCTCATGCCTATAAACCCAGCACTTCGGCAGGCCAAAGCAGGAAGACAGCCTGAGGCCAGGAGTGAGTTCAAGAGCAGCCTGGGCAACACAGTGAGACCTCATCTCTACAAAAACCTTTGTTTTGAAATGGAGTTTCACTCTTGCTACCCAGGCTGGAGCGCAATGGTGCTATCTTGGCTCACTGCAACCTCTGCCTCCCAAGTAGCTGGGATTACAGGCATGCACCACGACGCCTGGCTAATTTTGTATTTTTAGTAGAGACAGGGTTTCTCCATGTTGGTCAGGCTGGTCTCGAACTCCCGACCTCAAGTGATCCGCTGGTCTTGGCCTCCCAAAGTGGTGGGATTACAGGCATGAGCCACCACACCCGGCCAAAAACAACTTTTAAAAATTAGCTGGGCATGTTGGTGAGTGCCCATGGTCTCAGACACTCGGAACATGAGGCTGGAAGATTGCTTGAGCCCAGAAGGTGGAAGCTGCAGTAAGCCATGATCGTGCCACTGTACTCCAGCCTGGGTGACTGAGAGAGACCTTGTCTCAATGAGTAAATAAATTTAATTATAATTTATTTGTACCACTGTACCTTTCCTATCTTATAAAAAGTATTTTAAAATGAAGGCTATGGACTGGGCACAGTGGTTCACGCCTGTAATCCTAGCACTTCCAGAGGCAGAGACGGGCTGACCACTTGAGGTCAGGAGTTGGAGAGCAGCCTGGCCAACATGGTGAAACCCTGTCTCTACTAAAAATAGCAAAAGTTGGCTGGGCGTGGTGGCACACGCCCATAGTCCCAGCTACTCCAGAAGCTGAGGCAGGAGAATCGCTTGAATCCAGGAAACAGAGCTTGTAGTGAGCCAAGATCATGCCACTGCACTCTAGCTTATGTGATAGAGCAAGATGCTGTCTCAATAAAAAAAAAAAAAAAATGAAGGCTATAGGCTAGGTGTGGTGGCTTACACTTATAATCCCAGCACTTTAGGAGGCCAAGATGGGCAGATCGCTTGAGCCCAGGAGTTTGAGACCAGCCTGGGAAACGCGGTCTCTACAAAAAAATACAAAACAGGCTGGGCACGGTGACTGACCCTTATAATCCCAGCACTTTAGGAGGCCGAGGCAGGCGCATCACTTGAGGTTAGGAGTTTGAGACCAGCCTGGCAAACATGGTGGAACCCTGTCTCTACTAAAAAATATAAAAATTAGCCAGGTGCAGGGGTGTGTGCCTATAGTCCTAGCTACTTGAAAGGCTGAGACAGGAAAATCACTTGAACATGGGAGGTGGAGGTTGCAGTGAGCTGAGATAGCACCACAGCACTCCAGCCTCGGCGACAGAGACTTCGTCTCAAAAAAAAAAAAAAACAACAAACAAAACACAAAACAATTAGCCAGGCATGGTGGTGCACATCTATGGTCCCAGCTACTTGGGAGGCTGGGGTGGAAGGATCACCTGAGCCCGGGGAAGTTCAGGCTGCAGTGAGCCGTGCTCACGCCACTACACTCCAGCCTGGGACAGAGGGAGACCCTCAAAAACATAAATAAATAAAAATAAAATGAAGGCTAGGTTAAACTACCAACTAGACATTCACATGAGAAGCAATGTAATTTTATATAAGCTATAGAAAGTATAGGCCAATTCTCATCAGCAGTGTTGAAACTCTTACTATAAAAAGTATTTTCACCAGTTATAGATTTTTTATACCAAATAGAATGTGATGTGATTAAAAAGAGGATTTAGAAGCCACCAAAGAGGAAAAAAATGAAAAAGTAACAATTCTTTGACTGAGTGAGTAATTTATGGAGGAAGGTGAATGACTTGGTCTGGGCTTCCTATAAATTCTCTGTTCTGACCAAAAATCAAGGGCTATCCAAAATCCAGCAACAAAACAAAACAAAAACAGTACAAAAACCAAACACCCTCTGCCCTAGGACCAGAGGTCACCTGTTGCTTTGCTGCTCACCATGACCACTCTTGTTGACATTCTCTACTTCCAAACCCGGAACGTTAACGGTCTATACTTAGGAGATGGAGATGTGCCTAACATCTGTCTGTCTGACAGAGAAGCTGAAAGGACATTCCAGGTCTAACAGGTCTTCCATGCTCCAGCCATGCCAGTCTGACCCTAGGTCTATAGAGTCTATTTAGGTATACAGAAGGGAACAAAAAGCACAGCATCATCAACAACTACTTTTGGCTTCCAAACCATCTTGACCACAATGCACAGTAATAAAAAAAAAAAAAAAAAAAAATTTGAAGTTGTCACCCAGTATACACATCATACAAATACAAATCAAAGTTATGTGAAATGGTAATTGGCGGGGCACGGTGGCTCACACCTGTAATCCCAGCACTTTGGAAGGCTGAGGTGGGTAGATCACTTAGGGTGAGAAGTTTGAGACCAACCTGGCCAACATGGTGAAACCCCATCTCTATTAAAGCTACAAAAATTAGCCGGGTGTGGTGGCGCATGCCTGTAATCCCAGCTACTTGGGAGGCTGATGCAAGAGAATCGCTTGAACCTTGGGGTGGAGGTTGCAGTGAGCTGAGATAGCACCACTGCACTCCAGTCTGGGCGACAAAGCAAGACCCTGTCTCCAAAAAAAAAAAAAAAAAACAATACTTAATACATACAGCACTGATGTTTTTTACTCTATTCCATTTTTTAAAAACATTAGTCACGGCCGGGCACGGTGGCCCATGCCTCTAATCCTAGCACTCTGAGAGGCCGAGGCAGGTGGATCACGAGGTCAGGAGTTCGAGACCAGTCTGGCCAACATGGTAAAACCTGGTCTCTACTAAAAATACAAAAATTAGCCGGGGATGGTAGTGTGCGCCTGTAATCCCAGCTACTCGGGAGGCTGAGGCAGGAGAATTGCTTGAACCTGGGAGGTGGAGATTGCAGTGAGCCAAAATCGGGCCGCTGAACTCCAGCCTGGCCAACAAGAGTGAAACTCTGTCGGTGAGGGAGATGTGATGCCTCACTCTGTTACTCAGGCTAGAGTGCAATGGAGCCATCATAGCTCACAGCAACCTTAAACTCCTGGGCTCAAGCGATCCTCTCACCTCAGCCTCTCAAGTAGATGGGACTGCAGGCACATGCCACCATGCAAGGCTAATTTGTCTCACTATGTTGTCCAGGCTAGTCTTATTTCATTCAATATAATCATCCTTCGACATATGGCCATCTTGAGAAAACAGGCTCCTAGAATACTCAATTTCCTGGTAGAGTCTAATATTAAATATTCTCATTGAGCTTGTTTAAAGAGTTAAATGTTCTCATTGTATCTACTAAAAATACAAAAAAATTAGCCGGGCGTGGTGGCAGGCACCTGTAATCCCAACTACTTGGGAGGCTGAGGCAGGAGAATTGCTTGAACCAGGGAGGTGGATGTTGCAGTGAGACGAGATCGTGCCACTGCACTCTAGCCTGGGTGACAGAGCAAGACTCTGTCTGGTGGGGATGGTGGAGGGGACGGACAAGTTAACGGAGGAAAGAGGGTTGGCAACAAAAGTAGGTAGGTGAGGTAAGAAATACCTAGCAAAACATCTTAAAAATAAAGGAGAAGTAAAGGGAAGATAAGGGAAAGTGTACCAAAACAAATTAAAAATATAAACCTGTAACCAAATAATGGGGTACTGGTGACACTGGTGTTAGAAAATTAAAAAACAAACAAACAAAAAACAAAACATGAGGTAAAAAATGAAAGACTAGGGCCAGGTATAGTGGCTTACGCCTGTAATCCCAGCACTCTGGGAGGCTGAGGCAGGTGGATCACCTGAGATCAGGAGTTCAAGACTAGCCTGGCCAACATGGTAAAACTCCGTCTCTACTAAAAATACAAAAATTAGCCAGGCGTGGTGGTGGGCGCCTGTAATCCCAGCAACTTGGGAGGCTGAGGCAGGAGAATTGCTTGAACCAGGGAGGCAGAGGTTGTAGTGAGCCAAGATCATGCCACTCTGCACTCCAGCCTAGGCCACAAGAGCAAAACTCCATCTCAAAAAAAAAAAAAGGACTGCCTAATAAGTCTGAGTACACTTAAGAATTGCCAATGTAAGCACATTCTCAATTAATAAAATTTATAGTTATATATATACTCCATGAGTGAAAATGTAGTGTTCAATTTAAACGGTTCTTGTTTAGAATGAGACCTGGGCTGGGTGCAGTGGTTCATGTCTGTAATCCCAGTGGTTGGGGAGGCCAAGGCGGAAGGATCACTTGAACTCAGGAGTTTGAGACCAGCCAGGGCAACATGGTGAGACCCCATTTCTTAAAAAAAAAAAAAAAAATTTTTGGCGGGGATGGGTGGCACACACCTACAGTCCTAGCTACTCAGGAGACTGAGGCAGGATAATAGCCTGAGCCCAGAATTCAAGGCTGCAGTGAGCAGTGATCCCACCACTGTATTCCAACCTGGGCAACAGAGTGAGACCTTGCCTCTAGAAAACAAAAAAAGAAATGAAACCTGATAATAATGGTTTTGTGGTCCAGTTTACTTTTTTATTTTCTTTTTTTTAGACAAAGTCTTGCTCTGTCGCCCAGGCTGGAGTGCAGTGGCATGATCTCGGCTCACTGCAACCTCCACCTCCTAGGTTCAAAAGATTCTCATGCTTCAGCCTCCCAAGTAGCTGGGATTACAGGCATGCACCACCATGCCTAGCTAATTTTTTTATTTTTAGTAGAGATGGGGCTTCGCCATGTTGGCCAGGCTGGTCTCGAACTCCTGAGCTCAGGTGATCTGCCTGCCTTGGCCTCCCAAACTACTGGGATTACAGGTGTGTAATCAGGCACACCTGTGCCTGTGTAATATAGGCGCCTAGCTGGTTTACTTTATACATATACGAGACAAGGTCTCGCTATGTTGCCCAGGCTTGTCTCAAATTCCTGGCCTCAAGTAATCCTCCTGCCAGGGCCTCCCAAAGTGATGGGCTTACAGGCATGAGAGCCTGGACTGTGGTCCAGTTTAGAAGCTGCACAGTGAATGAAGTATTTCATTGCTTTGGAAGTGAAATGGAAAGACTAGAGGGGCTGGCATGTGCTCATCAGCCAGTGCTCCCTCCCACTAAGCTGGTGATAAGCTAGTGGCAGTGGTAAAGGTGAAATGGGGTTACGCTGGTCATCTCCAGAGATTTGTGCATGCTCCCAAAGAGACACTATAATAATATGACAGCTGGGCACCCCAGCACTTCGGGAGGCTGAGGCAGGAGGATCTCCTGAGTCCAGGAGTTTGGGACCAGTCTGGGCAACACTGTGAGAGCTTGTCTTCACAAAAAAAAAAAATTAGCCAGGTGAAGTGGCACACACCTATAGTCCCAGCTACCTGGGAGGTTGAGGTAGGAGGATTGCTTAAGCCCAGGAGGTCAAGGGTGCAGTGAACTGAAATCGCACTACTGCACCCCAGCCTAGGTGACAGAGCGAGATCCTGTCTCCAAAGAAAAAAAACAGAAAGAAAATAATATGAGGGCTTCCACCATAATCAAGCATCACAGTTTATATACTTTACAAAATACTTCCCAAAATATTATCTTTACTGATAAGCACTTTCACATATATTATCTCATTTGATGTTGTTATACTTATTTTATATCTGATTGCAATTGAAGGTTAAGGAAGCCATTAACTTGTCAGGTCACAAATGTCATCTAAATAGCCAAGACAGGCCTCAAATCCAAGTGTTCTGCCTCTAAATCCAATTTCAGACCACTGTTCCACCTGTACCTGAGGAAACTGGGGTGACTGACTAAATGGGGATCTGGTAAGAACCTTTTTTTCCAAACTCATGGGAAAAAGTTGCTTAGTACAGGAATTCTACCCAAACCTGGAAAGCATGTCCTCTCTTAAAGTCAGGCAGGGAAAAGAGTAATTATATATTTTTGCTACAATTCTTCCGACTAGACCATGAGCCTCAAAAACCCATAAACTGCGAGTAGTTACATAATTTTCTATTACCAACAATAATATCACTTCTCCCAAAGCCCTAGAGTCCTAATCTTGGTTATACTGACCATATGTGTGATTCTAGTTCACCAGTGAAACCCCTACGGGCCACAATCTCCAAATCTACACAAAAAAGAAAATTACTTAGGCCTTACCCAGATTGCTATAAGGTCTAGGTGAAATAATGTATTTGCTAAGATAGATTAAGCCTGAAGCAGAGTTCTGAGGGAATAGTAGCCCAATCTGTACCTAAGAGCCGAGTTAGAACACTCTATTTCATAGTATCATTAAAACGAAGATGACACAAAAGATACAACTCCCCAAGGGTGAACTGAGATGCCATTTGGTGCTTAGTAACCAAAATACTATAGAATCAGCCAGAGCTTCCTGGGTTTACAAGAGGACTCAATTTGAAAATTCTACAGGTTTTTCTAAGTTTCCATAAAATAGATGCTGTGATAATTGAGAGGAAGAGGACAGCATTTAAACTATAGGCCTACAGGTGCTTTGGCTCACACCATGGCAGGGGGTGCCCTTGAGCTCAGGGATTTGAGACCAGCTTGGGCAACATGACAAAACCCTGTCTCTACCAAAAAAATACAAAACAATTAGCTGGGCGTGCTGGCACGCCCCTGTGGGGGCTTGCTTGAGCCTGGGAAGTCGAGACTGAGTAAGCCATGTTCATGCCACTGGTCTCCAGCCTGGGTGACAGAGTGAGACCCTGTTTCAAAAAAATAAAATAAAACAAAAAAAAATAATAATAAATTCAAACTATGAAAAAAGCAAAAAAAAATTAAACTATGGCCTAGACAAGAATTAGTAACCACAGTCTGAAGTCTAACAGCCACAAGGTCCACATATGTTGCTATGCACTACAAATACATTCCTCTTTTTAAAAGAAAGGTAAAATAAAATTGCATTTTTATCCTAGAGCATGTCAAAATAAAAACACAAAGTTCTTGATCTACTTTTCGCCACAAGATGTCACTACTGGCCAAGAGAAGCATTACAAAATACTTTTCATTTCTACGATGAGTATCTTACCTTAATGTCTTTTAGAGAGATGAAATTCTCAATACCTAATTCAATCATATCCAGCACATGGTGGTCATACATACGACCTGGAAGGAAAATGTATTTTTAAGTATGTATTTTTCCCAAAGAGCCACCTTACATATACCCACATGAGCTGTGTATTCAAAATGTCCTAATATCTGCCTCTTTTCTTTGTCCCTATAATCCTGCAAACATATCCCACTTTCTTACATTTTCAACTCTACTTATTGTTATGATATTAGTCATTGAAAGGATCTTAGACATTACTTAGCCCAATTCCTTTATTTTATACAAGAATAAATGATGGCCCACAGAAGGTAAAGGGCTTGCCTAAGCCAGTGAGCATGCCAGACTCAATCTCAATACACTGAGGCAAAGGTTCTTTTTCAAATCTACATATTCAATAGATATTAGAGAAAGGTTAATTTACAGGGGTCGATACACTAACTCTAATATTGATTTAGTGTATATATATATATATATTTCATACTAAAAAAAAAAATCTACAGCTTAGGATAATTTTTTACCCCCAATTCCAATGGATCCATGCTATGTGGGAGCTCAGAGACACTCAATGCAAGTATAAAGTAATTGCGTTGCATCTACAACCAAGTAGGCAGGGATGCTGAGAGCCCGAAGAGACCACGGTTCCTGTTTAAACCAGAATTTGATTCCAACAGACAGAAGGCAATGGTATTCTAAGAAACATGAATTATCAGGGAATCTTTCATATTCTTTCTTACTTGTGGCACTTCACAGTATTGGCAGGGTCATATTTATTTATATGCCCCATTCTTTACTTGCAGACTGACATAAAATTTTTTTTTTTTTTTTTTGAGACGAAGTCTTGCTGTGTCACCCAGGCTAGAATGCAATAGCATGATCTCGGCTCACTGCCACCTCCGCCTCCCTGGTTCAAACAATTCTCCTCCCTCAGCCTCCCATGTAACTAGGATTACAGGTGTGTGCTACCATGCCTGGCTATTATTTTGCATTTTTAGTGGAGACAGGGTTTCACCATGTTAGCCAGGCTGGTCTCAAATTCCTAACCTCAAGTGATCCACCCACCTCAGCCTCCCAAAGGGCTGGATTTACAGGTGTGAGCCATAGTGCCTGGCATGATCTAAAAATTTTTTATTCAATGTCACAAGGTGAAAACAAAACCAAAAAACCCCATCAAACTAGTTTACAGCTTATTGATTACTCCTGATCCCTCAATACCATCAGTTAATCTGAGTCACAGAGCTTGTTACAGTAGATAGGCAGACATACACGGGACAGGAGAGGCTGCCCACTCACCCCACCCCAACCAGGAATGTCAGGCAACCATCAGGTGATGGTCAGGTGGCTGTTTAACTGTCTCTCTAAAATAATAATTGGTTGCAGCCAGTGCCAAGGAGAGGCATGCTCCCAAGAAATAGATAACACCTGAGGCTAGTAATCAGCAGCTTCCCAATAAGATCTCAGGAGTTGGGTAGGTGGGCTCAAGCACGCACACTAGGAGGCAAAATGGCAGACTTTAACTGGTATATGGCCTTGCTCTATGCTTCAAATGAGCATACGTATAACTCCAAAAAACACACTGTGCATGTGGCCCCTCCCAAGTGCTGGCAGGCCACTGCACAGGCAGACAGCTCATCCCAAGGAAAAATCAAGGTAGGAGGCTAGGCATGCTGGCTCATGCCTGTAATCCCAGCACTTCAGGAAGCCAAGGTGGGCAGATCACTTGAGGTCAGGAGTTCAAGACCAGCCTGGTCAACATGGTGAGACCCCCGTCTCTACGAAAAATACAAAAATTAGCTGGGCATGGTGGTGGGCACCTGTAGTCCTAACTACTCAGGAGGCTGAGGCAGGAGAATTGCTTGAACTCGGGAGGTGGAGGTTGCAGTGAGCTGAGATTGAGCCATTGCACTCCAGTCTGGGCAACGGAGCAGACCAAGACTCCGTCTCAGAAAACAAAAAAAAAGAAGAAAAGAAAAACCAAGGGAGAAGAGACACCAAACCCCTGAAGCATACCAACGTATAAAGCCCCCAAGTCAAAGGTCAAACAGCACACTTGAATCTTTCAAGTTGCCTGCTTGGTGCTCCAAGGGTACTTTATTTCCTTTTACTTCCTTTTGTTTCTGCTCTATAACTTTTTTTTTTCCCCTTGAGACAGGGTCTCACTCCGTCGCCCAGGCTGGAGTACAGTGGCGCCATCTTGGCTCACTGCTACCTTCACCTCCTGGGTTCAAGCAATTCTCATGCCTCAGCCTCCCCAGTAGTTGGGACTACAGGCATGCGCTATCATGCCTGGCTAATTTTTGTATTTTTAGTAGAGACAGGGTTTCGCCACGTTGGCCAGGCTGGTCTCGAACTCCTGGCCTCAAATGATCCACCCACCTCAGCCTCCCAAAGTGCTGGGATTACAGGCATGAACCACCATGCCAGGCCCCTGTTCTAAAACTTTTTAATAAACTTTCACTCCTGTTGAAATAATTCCCTCAGTCTCTTACTCTGCCTATGCCCCTTGGATGAATTATTTCCTCTGAAGAGGCAAGAACCAAGTTGCTCCAGACCCGTATGAATTCGCTGCTGCTAACAAGTTGACTCTAACAGTGAAAACATTAAAAAGTAAATTATACTTACCTATTACTAGATTATTTGGCCGCTTCTTATTATGGGAGCCAAACATGAATAAAGAACAATCTGACTTCTTTGAAAAGAATTCCTATAAAACCAAATAAATCCCATTTAGTCAACACATAAATTTAAGAACTTTAAGAATCTTACCTTTAAACTCAGGCCAGGCACGGTGGCTCACACCTGTAATCCCAGCACTTGGGAGGCTGAGGCAAGTGGATTGCTTGAGATCACAAGATAAGACCCTGTCTCTACTAAAAATACAAAAGACAGCCAGGTGTGATGGCATATGCCTGTAATCCCAGCTACCTTAGTGGCTGAGGCACGAGAATCGCTTGAACCCAGAAGGCAGAGGTTGCAGTGAGCTGAGAATGCGACACTGCACTCCAACCTAGGGGACAGAGTAAGACTGTCTCAAAAAAATAAAACAAAACAAAACAACTATACCAGTTTTTTTTTTTTTTTCCAGTGGAAGTTAATGAAGACTTAATGAACCAGAAAGGAAAATACAGGGGAAAAGTATTTCTAGCTTTTTACTTCAAGTTTTCTGATTTGGGGTACTTAGGGAAAAGATGTACATTTCAAGACTAGGAATACATGAAAACTATTCAGTTAATAAATAAAATGAAACCATTTATTTTGTTATGCTGTCATTTTGGAATAGCACACCAAGTGTTCATTTGCTGAACAAATCCCTTTAACTCATAGGATATCACTACTATCATTGCAAACATTTAAAACACACGAGGCCCAGTAAGGTGGCTCATGCCTGTAATCCCAGCACTTTGGGAGGCTGAGGCAGCTGGATCACCTGAGGTCATCTGATGTCAGGAGTTTGAGACCAGCCTGGCCAACATGGTGAAACTGTGTCTCTACTAAAAATAAAAAAAAATTAGCCAGGAGTGGTGGTGCATGCCTGTAATCCCAGCTACTCAGGAGGCTTAGGCAGGAGAATTCAGTGAACTTGGGAGGCAAAGGTTGTAGCGAGCCGAGATCACACCATTGCACTCCAGCCTGGGCAACAAGAGCATTGCATACCAGCCTTGGCGACAAGAGCACTGCACTCCAGTTTGGGTGACAAGAGCGAGACTGTCTTTAAAAAAAAAAAAAAATTATCTGGCTGGGTGCAGTGGCTCACGCCTGTAATCCCAACACTCTGGAAGGCTGACGTAGGTGGATGGCTTGAGATCTGGAGTTTGAAACCAGTCTGAGTAACATAGTGAAACCCCGTCTCTACGAAAAATACAAAAAATTAGCTGGGTATGGTGGTGAGCACCTATAGTCCCACCTACTTGGGAGGCTGAGGTGGGAGGAAGGATCACTCGAGCCCAGGAGATCAAGGCTACATGCAGTGAGCTGTGATGACACCACTGCACTCCAGCCTGGGTGACACAGTGACAACATCTTGGATAAAAGAAAGAGAGGGATCTTATCCATTTGGTTCTCAGAAGTATAGACTTTCATTACAGATTTCAGAGTAGTAAAAAATCTAAGTGTGGGGTTCTAATCCTAGACAGCTCTTTTTACACTATACCTATAGTCTCCACATCCCACATGCTTTGATTCAGTTTACTGAGATCACCACTCTTAGCAGAAAAATTAGAATCAACATGTTTTAGTCCAAAAATCAATTGGAAAGCCTCTTGTTAAGAAAAAAAAAAAAAAAGGCCGGGCGCAGTGGCTCACACCTGTAGTCCCAGCACTTTGGGAGGCCGAGGTGGGCGGATCACCTAAGGTCAGAGTTCGAGACCAGCCTGGCCAACATGGTGAAACCCTGTCTCTACTAAAAATACAAAATTAGCCAAGCATGGTGGTGCATGCCTGTAATCCCAGCTACTTGGGAGGCTGAGGCAGGAGAATCACTTGAACCCAGGAGGCGGAGGTTGCGGTGAACCGAGATCACGCCATTGCACTCCGACCTGGGCAACAAGAGCAAAAACTCCATCTCAAAAAAAAAAAAAAATCTCTTACTTTTTTAAGAGATGTGATCTCAATATGCTGCTTAGGCTGGTCTAGAAATCCTGGCCTCACGCAATCCTCCCACTTCACCCTACCAAAACAATGGAATTAGAGGTATGAACCACGATGCCCAACCTAACCAACTCTTTTTTTTTTTTTTAACTGAGATGGAGTTTCACTCTTGTCGCCCAGGCTAGAGTGCAATGGCACGATCTCGGCTCACTGCAACCTCAGCCTCCCGGGTTCAAGCGCTTCTCCTGCCTCACCTCCCGAGTAGCTGGGATTACAGGCATGCGCCACCATGCCTGGCTAATTTTGTATTTTTAATAGAGACGGGGTTTATCCGTGTTGGTCAGGCTGGTCTCGAACTCCTAACCTTAGGTGATCCACACGCCTTGGCCTCCCAAAGCCCTGGGATTACAGGTGTGAGCCACCACGCCCAGCCTAACCAACTCTTTAAAAATGTAAAAACCATTCTTAGCTCATGAGCCTCACACAAAGAGGGATTTGGTTTGCAAGCAGTGTATTTTTGCCAACCAACCCCTGTTCTAAAGCAGCAAAACTCATTTCTCCAAGATCGTAGTGAAAAAAATGTGTGGAGAGTGTCAGGAGGAGAAAATTGACCACTATTTCCAACACAACCACTCCTTCCATAGCCATTTTGAGCTCTGTAGGTCTGAGATTCAGAGAGCTAATAAATATATCCTATATCTGGAGATAGGAGATCAAAGAGAGGGAATGTCACAAACTTAAGAGTAAGAAAAGCTGTTATATCAACACTAGACTAAAAAAGCTCAAGTGCTACAGCTTTTACTATGGAACACTGCCACAAAGTGGTCATGCAACTAAAAGCATTATGGTATCACAAAACAAAACCAGGCCTTGATTAAGTGGTATATGAAACAGAGACTTCTGAGATAAATCTTTTATTTTTACTTCCAGGATCTCTTCAACAAATGACTGTAAAATACATGAGACAAATAAAAGTAATTTGAAAAAAACTGAGTAAAATGCATTTTATCGATACTATCTTAATTTTCACTGCAGTTAGTTACAATAAGATTATTTGATTTTAATCTAATTAATCATTAATTTCTTTCTTTTAAAATTCGCTAACTAAAAGAAAAAAACACTACAAAAGTCAAGTGAGCTTAAGGAAAAAACAACAACAAATAATGGGTTCCTGGTTGGGTGCGATAGCTCACACCCATAATCCCAGCACTTTAGGAGGCCAAGGCGGGCAGATTATTTGAGCTCAGGAGTTTAAGATCAGATTGGGCAATATGACAAAGCCCTATCTCTACAAAAATTAGCCAGGCATTGTGTTGTGCACCTGTAGTGCCCCCTTCTGAGGTGGGAGAATGGCTTGAGTCTGGGAAGTGGAGACTGCAGCAAGCAGAGATCATTCCAACGCACTCCAGCCTAGGCAACAGAGCCAGACCCTATTTCAAAATAAACAACGGGTTCCTATCAAGAAAACATAATCATATTAAGTTCTTTTAATTTTTTTAAATAGAGACGGGGTCTTGCTATGTTTTCCAGGCTGGTCTCAAACTCCTGAGCTCAAGCAATCCTCCTGCCTTGGCCTCCCAAAGTGCTGGGATTATATGTGTGAGCTACTGTGTCTGGCCCAACTCTTAAGGAAGAAACTAATTTTCTTAAGGAAGAAACTAATATCACATACTGAAAGTCCATTCATCATTCCCCATTTACTATAAACAATCTTTGATTTCATTTACTAGTTTTTTCATTTAGTTTTGGTTGACTATATACTCAAACAAGAATCTGATTAACTCTAGGAAAACAAATGACATCTGTTACCAATAATTCAGGTAGTGTTTCTTGTTTTAAAAGTATCCAAGCTGGTTGTGGTGGTGCACACCTGTAGTCCCATCTACTTGGGAGATTGAGGCAGGAGGATTGCTTGAGCTCAGGAGTTTGAGACCAGCCTGGGCAACATAGCAAGACCCAGTCTTAAAAAAAAAAAAAAAAAAAAGTAAAAGCATTGGAAGGATCATATTTTTAGAACTCAAACTTGCTTTATAAAAATAGACCTATAATAAACTTCCTTTTGAAAATTCATTATGTCCTTTAAATGCAACTCAAATTTTAAATTTTTTTTTTTTTTTTTTTGCGCTGGAGTTTCACTCTTGTTGCCCAGGCTGGAGTGCAATGGCGCAACCTTGGCTCACTTAAACCTCTGCCTCCTGGCTTCAAGTGATTATCCTGCCTTAGCCTCCTGAGTAGCTGGGATTACAGGCATCTGCTACCACGCTCGGCTAATTTTTTTTGTATTTTTAGTAGAGATGGGGTTTCTCCATTGGTCAGGCTCGTCTTGAACTCCTAATCTCAGGTGATCCACCCGCCTTGGCCTCCCAAAATTCTGGGATTACAGGCGTGAGCCACCACGCCCGGCCAAGTTTTAAAAATTTTATCAATATATTTGCAGGCAATGAATAACACATTTCCCAGCCAGAGTGAAAAGAAAGATCTATAGATATTTTAAAAAATATTTCCTCTCCATTTTACATCAAAATTCCCTCACATAGGATGACCTCTAATTTTAAAAAAAATCACAAATTTGGAGAACAAATGAATTAATCTGAATAATTACTACTTATATGTTTTCTTAAATCATAAAGATTATTGTACTTACCAGTGATGTCTGATCCTCAAACGGTCTTGTAATATTTTTCCTAAGAATATCAAAAAAGTGACCACAATTTTAATAACCTCAGTAAGTATATACAATTAATATATTAAGGTAATTTTATATTCAGATGATAAAAAAATGGAAAGGATATTCATTCATTCAAATATTTATTCAGTGCCTACTATATGCCAGGCCACCATTCTAGGAGCTAGTGACACTATACTACTACATCAAACAAGATGCTTGCTTTCATGGAGTTTACAGGCTTGTGGAAAATAGTCTTCTGTACATAGGGATTATGCATCCTTCTGCATCCATGGATTGATCTGACCAACCACAGACTGCTAGTATTCAATAGAAAAAGAAAGTGTGTTTTTAAAAAAAAGCGGGGGGCCGGGCACAGTGGCTCACAACAGTGAGCTATGATCATGCCACTGCACTCCAGCCTGGGTGACAGTGAGACCCCGTCTCTAAAAAAAAAGTTAATCAAGAAATAAAAAGAAAAAAGAACAATAAAAAGCAGGATAAACCAGAAAATACAGCATTATAACAATTTACATAGTATTTACATTATACTAGATATTATAAGTAATCGAGAGACGATTTAAAGTATATGTGACTTGCTTTTATGGGAAGCATTTTTTTAAAAAAGTATACAGGAGGATGTGCATGGGTTATATGCAAATACCAGGCCATTTTATGTAAGAGACGAGCATACCCAGATTTTAGTATCTAAGGGGAGGTTTCTGGAACCATCGCCCACAGATACTGAGGGATGACTGTAGCTTATTCCAGGGCTGTGGTAAGGAAAATGACAAGATGAATCCAGAGAATTTTGTGATGTTAGAAAGTAAGGAAGTGCTCAAAAACAGGAGGCATGTTGAAAGGTCATAGGAACCAAACTAAAAGAGTTCCCAACTTTGGGAGGCCGAGGTGGGCAGATCACGTGGTCAGGAGATTGCAACCATCCTGGCTAACACAGTGAAACCCCATCTCTACAAAAAAAAAAAAAAAAAAACAAAAAAAGCAGCTGGGCATGGTGGGCACCTGTGTAGTCCCAGCTACTTGGGAGGCTGAGGCAGGAGAATGGTGTGAACCCAGGAGGCGGAGCTTGCAGTGAGCCAAGATTGCACCACTGCACTCCAGCCTGGGCGACAGAGCGAGACTCCGTCCCAAGAGTTCCCAGCTGGGAGTGGTGGCTCACATCTGTAATCTCAGCACTTTGGGAGGCTGAGGCTGGTGGATCACCTGAGGTCAGAAGTTCAAGACCAGACTGGCCAACATGGTGAAACCCTGCCTCTACTAAAAATACAAAAATTAGCTGGGCGTGATGGTGGGCACCTGTAATCCCAGTTACTCAGGAGGCTGAGGCAGGATAATCGTTTGAACCCAGGAGCCGGAGGTTGTGGTGAGCTGAGATCGCACCACTGCACGCCATCCTGGGTGACAGAGACTCTGTCTCAAATTAAAACAAACAAACAAAAAAACGGGGAGTTCCCAATTGCCAAACAGAACAATTTAAGCAACAAAATTAAGAACACTGGATTAGAATCCAGAAGAATATATGAGGAAAGTGTAACATTTTTGTAGTGTTGTTGACAAACATGCATAACCTCAATCAATTCATGAGAAAATTTAAACCCAAACTGAGGGATAATTTACAAAATAACTGACAAGTACTTGTCAAAAATGTCAAGGTCATCAAAGACAAGGAAAGACTAAGGAACTGTCACAAATTGGCGAAGACTAAGGAGGCATGAAAACTAAATGCCACATGGGATGCTAGAAGAGAAAGAGTATTAAAAGGAAAACTAGAGCTGGGCGCAGTGGCTCACGCCTGTAATCCCAGCACTTTGGGAGGCTGAGATGGGTGGATCACCTGAGGTTGGGAGTTTGAGACCAGCCTGACCAACACGGAGAATTCCGTCTCTACTAAAAATACAAAATTAGCCGGGCATGGTGGCGCATGCCCATAATCCCAGCTACTTGGGAGGCTGAGGCAAGAGAATTGCTTGAACCCAGGAGGCGGAAGTTGCGGTGAGACCAGATCGCGCCACTGCACTCCAACCTGGTCAACAAGAGTGAAACTCCGTCTCGGGAAAAAAAAAAAAAAGAAAAGAAAGAAAAAAAAACTGGGCCGGGTGTGGTGGTGGCTCACGCCTGTAATCCCAGCACTTCGGGAGGCCGAGGTGCAGAGATCACCTAAGGTCAGAAGTTTGAGACCAGCCTGACCAACATGGCGAAACCCCGTCTTGACTAAAAATACAAAAATGAGCTGGGCGTGAAGGCATGTGCCTGTAATCCCAATTCGGGAGGCTGAGGGAGGAGAATCACTTGAACCAGGGAATCGGAGGTGGCAGTGAGCTGAGATCGTGCCACTGTACTCCAGCCCGGCGACAGAGCTAGACTCCGTCTCAAACAAAACAAAACAAAACAAAACAAAAACACAAAAAAATTAGCCAGGCATGGTGGCATGTGCCTATAATGCCAGCTACATGGGAGGCCAAGGCAGAAGAGTGGAAGTTGTAGTGAGCAGATATCACGCCACTGCACTCCAGTTGGGCAACAACAGGACTTCGTCTCAAAAAAAGGAAAAAAGAAAAACTGATGCTAATCAAATATGTCTGTCATTTGATTGACATTAGTGAATCAGTGTTAATTTATTAGTTTTGATCACTGCATTATGGTTATGCAAGATGTAACATTAGGAGAAGCCAGGTGAAGGGTATATGGGAATTCCGCATTATTTTTGCACTTTTCTGTAAATCTATAAGTATTTCAAAATAAAATACATATGCTATGGTCACAACTATGTAAGGACATTCGATACAAATGAAAAAACAGAACAAAAGAAAGAAATTATAATATTAAAAACTGTAAGGAATTTTAGTATCTTTAAAAAATTTTTTTGTTTTCCAAATCTTCCATAAAGTGGTTACTTTTATAACGAAACAAAATCATTTAAAATACAGTAAAAGAAATCATGACTTACTTTTTATACAGTACACCATATGGTTTTTTCAGTGCATACTGTAAAACAAAATTTATAGCTTTCAAAACAAAACACATTCTGAAAAGCAGAAATAAAAATAAAACATCTTAACAGTCACTCTCCAAGATTGCTCTGGGGCCTCAATCTTGTCCTGAGGCCTTCTTCCTGGCTCCCTTTTCATCACTTACAGTAACTTGAAACATAAACTTAATATTCTTGGACTAGACTTTCCTATTTAAAAGTTTCTATGCCCTTTCAATAGTCTATCAAACTTAAACCATTTCCTTTATTTCTTTAAACTCGACTTAGTCCAGTCTCTCTCTGGGGAAACAATGCCAGGTACAGTGGCTCACGCCTGTAATCCCAACACTTTGGGAGGACAAGGCAGATCACTCGAGCCCAGGAGTTCGAGACCAGCCTGGGCAACATGGCAAAACCCTGTCTATACAAAAAACTGCAAAAATTAGCCAGACATGGTGGTGCATGCCCACAGTCTCAGCTACTTGGGAGGCTGAGGTGGGAGGATCACCTGAGCCTAGGAATTTGAGGCTGTGGTAAGCCTTGATCACACCACTGCACTCCAGCTCTGGTGATAGTGTGAGACTCTGTCTCGGGAAAAAAAAAAAAGTAGTAGATAAAAACAGAAAAAATAAATTATATCAGGAAAGGTTGATGTTGTGTGGAGATAAGAAAACTCAGAAATAGTCACAATGATGACAACTAGAATACTAGCCAGGGGTTAAACACAGCTCTTTAAAAAATGCCTGTTATTCAATGTTCTTCATTTTTTCCCCTACTTCTACCCATCCACTAATAATCATTCATTTTATTTTATTTATGTATTTTGAGACAGAGTCTCACTCTGTTGCCCAGGCTGGAGTGTAATGGTGCAATTAAAGCTGACTGCAGCCTCAAACTCCTGGGCTCAGGTGATCCTCCCATCTCAGCCTCCCAAGTACAGACACATGCACCACGCCCAGCTAATTTTTGTATTTTGAGTGGAGATGGGGTTTCACCATGTTGTCCAGGCTGTATTTTACTATTTTTAAAAATTTAATTTATAGAGATGGGGTCTCACTTTGTTGTCCAGGCTGTTGTACTGGGCTTAAGCAATCCTCCCACCTCAGCCTCCCAAAGTGCTGGGATTACAGGTGTCAGCCACCACACCTGGCCTATAATGATTTATTACTTGTATGGCCAGTACTGCTCTACCATAGAGAATAACAAAGATGTCATCAGGTACTACCTTGCATTAGAGAAATGGGTAAATGAGGGAAACAATGAAAAATAAGGTATAATAATCATTCATCAACTATCAGAGTTGGTGAACAAAGAAAATGCAACAGTAAAATCTGCCTTTTTAAGTATAAAACTTTTGATGATTCTTGGCCAACTATTTCCCTGTTTCCGTGTAATAAACATTGCCACCTCTTCTTGATAACTCAGATGAATTTTGATAATCATGATGGATTTTAATTATTGTAGTAATCTGTAATATTGTGCTGCTTTTAAAGCTTAAATATGTAGGATCATTGTGCTGATGGATATACTATGAGAGGGGCAGTGTCCCGTCAGCACAATGACATTCAGACAAACGTTTCAAAAAAGGGATGGGCCTATATAAGGCATTCAGACATCTGAATTGACTATGCTTATCAGGCATAGAGTTTGGCAAGTTTAAAAATGTATTCAACGCCAGGTGTGGTGGCTCACTCCTGTAATCTCAGCACTTTGGGAGGCTGAGGCAGACAGATCACTTCAGGTCAGGAGTTTGTGACCAGCCTGGCCAACATGGTGAAACCCTGTCTGTACTAAAAGAACACAGAAATTAGCCGGGTGTGGTAGCATGAGCCTGTAGTTCCAGCTATTCGGGAGGCAGAGGCAGGAATCGCCTGAACCCGGGAGGCAGAGGTTGCAGTGAGCCAAGATGACACCACTGCACTTCAGCCTGGGTGACAAACTGAGATGCCATCTCAATAACAACAAAAATGTATTCAATTACTTAATTGATTTAATTCAAAGACCTATTAGCTGTACTGAAGGCCTAATTAGTCAAATAACCTATTAGATATCTCCACATACTATGCCTTCTTTTTTGAGATGGAGTCTTGCTCTATTGCCCAGGCTGGAGTAAGTGCAATGGCGTGGTCTCAGCTCACTGCAATCTCCACCTCCCAGGTCCAAGCAGACTCTCCTGCCTCAGTCTCCTGAGTAGCTGGGATTACAGGCGTCCACCACCAAGCCCGACTAATTTTTGTATTTTTAGTAAAGATGGAATTTCCCCATGTTAGCCAGGCTGTCTTGAACTCCGGACCCCGTGATCTGCCCGCCTCGGCCTCCCAAAGTGCCGGGATTACAGGTGTGAGCCACTGCGCCTGGCCTTTCTTTCATTGATTACCTATATATTGAGTACCTACTATGTACAGACACTGGGCTGGACACTAGGCTACAGAGGTAGAAAAAACAAAGCTTTTATTTTCATTACTTAAATCACATGTCCCAAACTGAATCTTCCACCTTTCCCTCCAAACCTGATCCACTTGACACATTTTCTAATTGGCATTATTGCCCATCAGGCACTCAAGCCAAAAACCTGGGAAGTCATACTTTTCACTAGTTCCCAACTCTTCTACCCTCAACATCTATTCTTTCTGGTCATTTCTCATTTTCATTGCCACCACTGGACTCCAGATGCTCTTCACCTAGCTGGCAGCAATGGTTTAGTTTCCTACATTTGCTCTCAACCCTCTCTAGTCAAGCCAATTAAAAAGACTGGTGGTCCTTTTAATTCTCTTGCTTATTATCTTTCAATGACTACATGGAGCTTTCAGATTAAAATTCAAACTCCATTTTACTACATGACCCATGCCTCTTCTTCTAGCCTCATCTAGCCCACTCTCCTTTGGCCATGCCCAATTATTTACAGTTCTCCAAATGCATCAATGCGCCTTCATACTCCCTTTTGCACAAACTTCTTTCTCAGTCTCAGAGGGTCTTCTCTTTCTCTCCCACTTCTTGCACCAACTTCTCCTTCAAAATGAAGCTGAAGGGTTATCTCTGGGGGAACTTACCCTGTGTGGGGGTCCCCCATGTGATTTTCTTTTTTTTTTTTTTTGAGATGGAGTCTCTGTCACCCAGGTTGGAGTGCAATGGTGCGATCTCGGCTGACTGCGACCTCCACCTCCCTGGTTCAGACCATTCTCCTACCTCAGCCTCTGAGTAGCTGGAACTACAGACATGTGCCACCACACCCAGCTAATCTTTTCATTTTTAGTTTTCACCATGTTTCACCATGTTGGCCAGGCTGGTCTCGAACTTCTGACTTTGTGATTCTCCTGCCTCGGCCTCCCAAAGTGCTGGGATTACAGGCGTGAACCACTGTGCCCGGCCTCCCTTATGTGATTTTAACTGTTTCCCATCCTACCCTGTCCATGCCTCCAACACAGCACAATGTGAGAACTTTTTACATGTTTGTCTCTCTAAGCTCACTGAAAGAACTGTGTCTCACCTATTAACTCCCAGCAGAGGCACAGTAACTGGTGTTGTTGAATGACTAAATATATAGCAATATGCAGTTATTTCTCTTCACAAATTAAATTTTTTCCTAAAATGTGAGTAAGCCAAATTCTAGTAATTAAAAACAGCTTAAATTTACTAAGGGAGACCTTCACTCTACCAGACCCATCTGTGCTCGTAAAAGATAATAATAAAATTTACTAACAGAACTAGTTGCTTTAAGAAAAACTAGTAGTTGGTGCCTCGCAGGGTACAGAACCCCCCAACTTTAGCTCTTCTCTAAGATTAGTAGTTCTTATGGTAAGGCAAGCTTATCTATGTATTTCTCCGGCAGCCCAACCTAGCATGCTGAAAATTCCAAATGACTTCGATACCTTTTAAAGATTAAGTATATATACTCACCACATCTTTAAGTACTTGTGTCACTGTTGCATTTGCATTTCCCCCTTTAATCAGCATGGCATTTTTAATATTTTCATTGAGTTTCGGTTCTCTCTTCTCAAGGAATCTCTTGGCTCTCTTCGTTTTGGGCTTTCTGTTCAGAAAAGCACAATTCATAACTACTTAAACATCTTCCTCACATTGCAAAGCCATGACTTAACTAATATGCAAATTCTTAAAAACACATTTGTCATTTAGGACTCCACCCTTAAACAAAATCTCACTTTTTTTTTTTTTTTTGAGATGGAATCTCACTCTGTCGCCCAGGCTGGACACAATCTGGACACAATGGCACAATCTGGCTCACTGCAACCTCCATCTCCTGGGTTCAAGCAATTCTCCTGCCTCAGCCTCCTAAGTAGCTAGGATTACAGGCACACACCACCATACCTGGGTGATTTTTGTATTTTTAGCAGAGACAGGGTTTCACCATGTTGGTCAGGCTATTCTCGAACTACTGACCTCAGGTGATCTGCCTGCCTCGGCCTCCCAAAGTGCTGGGATTACAGGTGTGAGTCACAAGGCCCGGCCAAAATCTCACTTTTTTGGGAGATATCAGTAAAATATATTTCCTTATGATTTGTTTTGTTAGCTTTTAAAAAAAAAGCTTTCATTTTTATATTCCCACCATTCTTTTATTACTGCTTTTTCAAATCTTTTTTTAAGTAAAAAATAAAAGGCTCAAGTAAATACTGTCGCTATTTTTACTCTTTTTTCTTCAAGCCTTAAGTAGTCAAACTGTATCCTGTACCCTAATAGGAAGAATTGAGCATCAACTGCTGATCAGCCTGTGGGCATTCACTAAACATGAGACTAATGACTGCTTACCTTTCTTTTAGGTTTAAGACCACAATGCCTGCCAGGAAGTATACACTGTTGCACTCCAATATCATTGCTGAGAATGTCAACATTATTGCCAACAATGGGGAATAATAAGGTTGATGTTTACCTGGAGTCACTCTATTAAGGCTTAATCTTCACCACAATCCTGAGAGTTACAATTCTTTTTTATTTATTTATTTTTTTTGAGTCGAGTCTCTCTGTCTCCCAGGTTGGAGTGCAGTGGCGCGACCTCAGCTCACTGCAAGCTCCGCCTCCAGGGTTCACGCCATTCTACTGCGGGCGCCCGCCACCATGCCCGGCTAATTTTTTGTATTTTTAGTAGAGGCAGGGTTTCACCGTGTTAGCCCAGGATGGTCTCGACCTCTTGACCTCGTGATCCACCCGCCTCGGCCTCCAAAAGTGCTGGGATTACAGGTGTGAGCCTCCACACCCGGCAAGTTACAATTCTTATCTTCACTTTACAGATGAGGCAACTGAACAGACAGGTAATGTGCCCAAGATCACACAGCAAGTAAACAGGCCAATTTTTAAAATGAGCTAGGGCTGGGCGGCCACAGCCTGTAATAAAAACACTCTAGGAGGCCAAGATGGACGGATCACTGAGCCCAGAAGTTCAAGACCAGCTTGGGCAACATCGCAAAACCCTGTCTGTACAAAAAAAATACAAAAATTAGCTGTGGTGGTGCGTGCCTATAGTCCCAGTTACACGGCAGGCTGAGGTAGGAGGGCTGCTTGATTCCGGGGAGGTCGAGGCTGCAGTGAGCTGTGATCGGGCTACTGCACTCCAGTCTGGGTGTCAGAGCGATACCCTGTCTCAAAAAAAAAAATTTTTTTTAAGCTAGATTTAAAAATTCATGTAGACCAATTACCCTGTAAACTATTAAGGGAAAATAAATTCATTATTCTGACTTTATGATGTGACAGTAGGAATCGCATATTTTTATACATTTCTGTTCAAAAAAGGGGCTTCACCTCTGCTTCCTCTACAATAAGCGCCCTGATTTTTCAGACAGTTCTCTGTCATCTACTGAAAGAATTCTCCTCCCAAATAATTATGACCCTCCCTCGTCCAGTCCCATGGACACTTTGGGAAGAAAGAGACTGTACATGCACTTTAGTTTCCCATGTAGATTTTTTAAATCCTCCTCCAGAGATAATGTCACATATAAAGCTTCTAATCATTTACTGGTTGATAAAGATACAAATTATTCTATCTTTTGTAACTCATTAAACAGCAACAAATGCAAATAGCGATTAACATGTTTTATTAGCTGCCTGGCTCCCAATTAATGTGTAAACTAGTCCCAATACCTAGTAAACGACTCTTCTTTGTAGTCCAAACACTAGAGGAATAGCAGGTGTGCAAAATCTCTGAATGACTAAAACTGTCGTTTTGGATACATACTAACCTACGTAAATAGCAAGAAAACCACAGCAAATAACAGCAGGGCTGTTTAGCATGATAAATATTCTTGAACAAATTTAAAACAGGTATCATTCAAGGACAACTCAGAGGAGTGTACAAAGTCGAAAAGGAAAAAAACCAAAACTAATGAACATTTCTACGTGCTGCAGCAAAGGCTCTACATACATTCGCAAAACTAACCCTCACAGCTCTAAGAAGTATGACTATGATGAGTGCTATTTTACAGCGTAAACTGAGATTTAGAGACATTTAATGACCCAACGTCACAAAGCTTTAAGTGAACGCGCCAGACTGTCACCCAGATCTGTCGGATTCCAAGGGCTGTGCTCTTAACCCCACTCTAACTAATCTGTCTCATACTTCGGAAGTCAGATTTTTTCAACTGACTAGGATAAAAGCGGCCAACGCTTCAATCCCACATCCCATCCCGCGACTCCCACCTGACAGCTTCCCCACTGTCTCCTGGCAAGTAGCTCGCGCTGAGGAAAACCCCGGCTGGTGATCGATCGGCTCCCACCCAGGCAAGAAGAGGGGTAACCAGGAAGAGTGAGAGGCCGAGACAATACCACCCTCATCACGGGACCCTTTCACCCCAACGTTCCCCGGGGCGGAGAACCAGCGAACTTACACAACTCGATCCAGAGTGTCCATCGCTACTGCTCCCTGCAACTCTTAGAACTAAGTGGATGCACGTGCACCCGGCGATTACGTGCGCCGGAACAGGCAGAACCGGAAGCTGAGCGCAACGCCACTTCCGGGGACGGCCTCGCCGAGGGTGCCTGGAGGCGTTGGCGGCCATTTTGATTGGAATCGCGCCCTGTTCCCTTGGTTACGGATTTTTGCCCTGGCTCTTTCCCGGAATTACAGGTGCGAGGTAATACTTATAAGTAACATTGGCCAGGTGTGGTAGCTCACGCCTGTAATTCCAGGATTTTGGGAGGTCGAGACGGGCGGATCACCTGATACCAGGAGTTCGAGACCAGCCTGGCCAACATGGCGAAACCCCGTCTCTACTAAAAATACAAAAATTAGTCAGTCGTGGTGGCGGGCGCCTGTAACCCCAGCTGCTCGGGAGGCTGAGGCAGGGAGAATTGCTTGAACCCGGGAGGGGGAGGTTGCAGTGAGCCGAGATCGCGCCACTGCAAAATCCAGCCTGGGCGACAGAGCGAGACGACTCCTCAAAAAAAAAAAAAAGTAACATAGACTCTCACAGTTTGATGTACACGCTAGTTTGTATACTTGGAGTCAGGTATTCAGAAACCAGATTTTATTCTTCAGGGAATCCCAGGATGCTAGAAAGGTTGATTGCACGGTAGGTACTCACATAATCACTAAAAACATTAATGTGAAATGGGCACTGTTGACAACTGTGTGATCAGCGTGACAGAGTTTATGACTATCACAGTTGCCCAGTACATAAAAAATGCGCAGAAAAGGTGCTGCTGATCGTGATTTTTTCCCCAGTTTTTAAGTTACCACATAATTCACATACCATAAAATTTACCCCTTTAAAGTGTACAATTCATTGGTTTTTCGTGTATTCACAAAGGTGTGCAAACATCACCACTAATTCCAGAATATTTAATCACCTCAAAAAGAACCCCCTCGACACACAAACCCAGTAGCGGTCCAAGCCCCACTTCCCCCTCCTGCCAGCCCTTGGCAACCAATAATCTACTTTATGTTCAGTGGATTTGCGTATTCTGAACATACATAAATGAATTCGTGCAACGTATGGCCTTTTGTGTCTGACTTCTTTCACTATCTGTTTTTGAGGTTCATACATGTTGTAGCGTGGATCAGTACTTCCATTTTGTTAGCACTGAATAATATTGCTTTGTATGGATATACCACATTTTCTTTATCTGTTCGTCAACCTAGGTACTTTTTTTTTTTTCGACGTAGTCTTGCTCTGTCGCCCAGGCTGAAGTGCAGTGGTGCGATCTTGGCGCACTGCACCCACCACCTCCCAGGTTCAAGCAGTTCTCCTGCCTCAGTCTCCCAAGTAGCTGGGATTACATGCACGCACCACCACACCTTGCTAATTTTTGTGTTTTTTAGTAGAGACAAGGTTTCACCATGTTGGCCAGGCTGGTCTTACCTGAACTCTTGAGCTCAGGTAATCCACCCGCCTCAGCCTCTCAAAGTGCTAGGAATACAGGCGTGAGCTACTGTGCCCGGCCAGCTTATGTACATTTGAGTGGTTCCCATTTTTTGGCTACTGTGGATTATGCTGCTTTGTGTTTTTTTGTTTTGCTTTGCTTTGTTTTGTTGCTGAGACAGTCTCGCTCTGTCACACAAGCTGGAGTGCGGTGGTGCAATCTCAGCTTACTGCAACCTCCGTCTCCCGGGTTCAAGCTATTCTAGTGCCTCAGCCTCCCAAGTAGCTGGGACCACAAGCGCGTGCCACCCCATCCAGCTGCTTTGAATATTATTTTCCAAATTTTGTGTGGACATATGTTTTCAGTTCTCTAGGAGTAAAATTGCTGGGTCATATGCTAACTCTTAAGTGTAACATTTTGAGGCACTGGTAAACTGTTTTCCAAAGCACCTGCACCACTTACATTTCCCATGAGCAATGTAAGAGGGTTTGGTATTAGTTTCCTATTTCTGTTGTAACAAATTACCATACATTTATTATTTTATACTTCAGGAAGTCAGAAGTCTGAAATAGTTTTGCAGGTCTAAAACGAAGGCCAGGAGCCGTGGCTCATGCCTGTAATCCCAGCATTTTGGGAGGCTGAGGTGGGCGGATCACGAGGTCAGGAGATCAAGACCATCCTGGCTAACATGGTGAAACTCCATCTTTACTAAAAATACAAAAAATTAGCCAGGTGTGGTGGCACACCTGTAGTCCCAGCTACTTGGGAGGCTGGGGCAGGAGAATCACTTGAACGCGGGTGGTGGAGGTTGTGATAAGCCGAGATCGCACCACTGTACTCCAGCCTGGACAACAGAGTAAAACTCTGTCTCTTAAGTAAGTAAGTAAGTAAGTAAATAAATAAATAAATAAATAAATCGAAGAAGTCAGTAGGACTACATTCCACCTGGAGGCTTCAGGGTAGAATAGGTTTCTTGGCTTTTTCCAGCTTCTAGAGACTGTCTGCATACTTTGGCATTTCTCCATCATCAGTTAACTTCTGCTTCCATTTCACATCTTTTTCTGTGATGCTCTGACACTTCTAACTCCCTCTTAATAAAACGCTTGTGATTACATGGGCATCACCTGGATAATCCATGATAATCTGAAGATCCTTAATCGTATAGCAAATTCCTTCTGGGCATGTAAAGTACATATTCACAGATACTTGGGGTTCTCAACATCTTTGGGCTGGGAGTTGAAGGAAGCATTATTCTATCTACCAAAAGTTCCAATTTCTCCACTCCTCACCAAAACTTAGCATTGTCCATCTGTTTTATTAAGCCATCCTAATGGATATGAGTGCTATCTCATTGTGATTTTCATTTCCCTGATGGCAAATAATGGTGAGCATGTTTTCATGTGCTGATTGATTACCCATTTTTATATCTTCTTTGGGAAAATGCCTATCCAAATCCTTTGCCCAGTTTTTAAATTGGGTTGTCCTTTTATTGTTGAGTTCTAATATTTTCTTGTGTATTCTAGATATAAGTCCCTTACCTGATATATAATTTACAAATATTTTCTCAAATTTAGGTTTTTTCATTCTCTTATTAATGTCCTTTTGAGCACAGATCTTTTGAACTTTGTTCAAGCCCAGTTTACCTATTTTTTTCCTTTTGTTGCTTGTGCAGCTTATCCATTTTTTCCTTTTGTTGCCTGTGCTTATGGTATTGTGTCTAAGAAGCCATTCCCTATTCCAACATCACAAAGATTTGCCCCATGTCTTCTTTCAAACATTTTTAATTGTAGCTCTTATATTTAAGCCTTTGGTCCATTTTAATTTTGATATATGGTGTGAGATAGGGGTTCAACTTTATTCTTTTGTACGTGGATATCCAGTTGTCCCAGCATCATTTGTTGAAAAGATTATTCTTTCTCCATTGAATTGTCTTAGCATCCTTTTGCAATATCAATTGACCATAATTGTAAGGGTTTATTTCTGGACCCACAATTCTATTTAATTGATCTGTCTGGTTTTCATTATGCTAGTTCCACAACTTTGATTACCATATAGCATTGTAGTAAGTTTTGAAACTAAGAAATGTGACTTCTATGATTTTGCTCTTTTGCAAGATTGAATTTCCATATGAATTTTAGGGTCAATTTCTCAATTTCTGCAACAAAGGCAGCTTGGATTTTTCTTTTCTTTTCTTTTCTTTTTTTTTTGAGATAGGGTCTCCCTTTGTCGCCCAGACTGGAGTGCAGTGGTGTGAACACAGCTCACTGCAGCCTTGACCTGCGCTCAAGCGGTCCTCTCACCTCAGCCTTCTGAGTAGCATGCACCACCATGCCTGTGGTCTCACAGCCCAAAAATTTAAGAATTAACACCTTGCTAATTCTTAAATTTTTTTTAGAGATGGGGTCTCACGTTGCCCAGGCTAATCTCAAACTGCTGGGCTCAAGCAATCCCCTTGCCTCAGCCTCTCAAAATGTTGGGATTATATACGTAAGCCACAGCACCCAGCCTGACTTACTTGCCTAGTTTGTTGAATGCTTTTTATGCTTTTTATCATGCAAGTGTGTTGGATTTTGTGTGTACTTTTTCTGCATCTATTGAGATGATCATGTGGTTTTGTCCTTTATTCTATTAACATTTTATATTACACTGATTTTCATATGTCCAACCAACCTTACATTCCTGGAATCAATCCTATTTGGTCATGGTGTATGATCCTTTTTATATGTTGCTGCATTCGGTCTGTTGATATTTTGCTGGGGATTTTTGTGTCTATATTCATCATATTGGCCTGTAGTTTTCTAGTGGGAATCTTTGTTTGGCTTCGGTATTGGATTAGTACTGGCCTAACAGATTGAGATGGGATGTGTTCCCTCCTCTTCAGTTTTTTGGAAAAGTTTGTGATGTCTGCTGTTAAGTGGCAAGAATGGTGGTGATGTTAGTGAGATTTTGCAGATGTTATTGAGGATTTTTTTTTTTCTTTTGAGATGGAGTCTCACTCTGTCGCCCAGGCTGGAGTGCAGTGGTGTGATCTCAGCTCACTGCAGCCTCTGCCTCCCAGATTCAAGCAATTCTCCTGCCTCAGCCTCCCTAGTAGCTGAGACTGCAGGTGCCCACCACAACGCCTGGCTAATTTTTGTATTTTTAGTAGAGACGGGGTTTCATCATATTGGCCAGGCTGGTCTCAAATTCCTGACCTTGTGATCCACCTGCCTCGGCCCCCCAAAGTGCTGGGATTACAGGCATGAGCCTGCACTGCACCCGGCTAAGAATCTTTTTTTTTTTTTCAGTAAAACTTTATTAACCCACTCATTATTATCAGAATACAAATGGGAGTACACTGCACAGTGAAGAATTTGCACAGCAAATGAATGACATGAACAAAATATTCAGAAGTGTCACACACTTAAATTGATTAATTCAAGTAATTGTTTTCGTGAAAATAATTTGTGAATGGCATGGTCCCTATCATTCTCCCCTTAATAACTTTTCAGTAACATGTTGTAAGATAAGTTAATACAATTGTATTTCATTTATCCTTAAATTGTAGTTGTTTTGATATATACATGTAATTTGGACTGGCCTCTCATGAAAAAATTAGTATTTAACAGTACACAATTACTAATCACCATTTTAAAAAATGTACGATACAGCTG